AATAAAACTATTTAAGAAACGAAAACTTGCTCTGTTTCGTGAACTTTCTTGCAACAATACACAGTAGATAACTAGGGACATAAAAATGAGATGTTATTCTTACGATGGGCAATAAAACTACACATTTTACATTTCTGCTCGAGGTGCGCAGCTGGTTTTCAACAATTTTTTCATTCAACTTAATTACGAAGCACAAAATTAGCTGATGTTCTTTTGTTCGTTGAAAAAGTTCTCTGTGAGCGAAAGACAGGTGCATTCGATATCTCTGCTTGACTAAATAAAACGATTTAAGAAGCGAAAATTTTTTCTGTTTCGTAAACGTAATTGCAACAATACACAGTAGATAACTAGGGACATAAAAATGAGATGTTATTCCTACGATGGGCAATAAAACTACACATTTTACATTTCTGTTCGAGGTGCCTACCTATTCAACTCAATACTTTTGCATATTTACTAAAGACTGACCGCTGGAGGTAATCTAACTCCCACTGCTTTGGAAACACTAAACTATTAGTGTCTTTCATTTATACAAAAGAGGATTGTGTAATGATTACATCGAGGAAATTAGGCTCGTTTAAAACGGGTATTCCTGTCTTAAGCTACAAAAACTTCTCGAAGTCCAGATGCAATTTGGAGATCACATCGCCGTTTAACTTAGTATTCTTCTCGGAATATTCCCATTGCTAAGTCTTGTTCAGCATTCAATTAGACAAGGCAGGCAATTTACAAACTGCCGGACAGCTATCTGGTGGAAAACGCAACATCGACAAGACACGTAAAGGACTATTTTTGACTGTTCCTTCCTCTGTCTAGAGTACGAACCATTCGCTTGCTTGTCGTTCACTATGACTCGGGGTAGTGACAACGGCTATCACACGTGCGAATTAAGCAGTTCAGAGAGATACCTTGAGCCGAAAAGAATGGAAGAAAGGCTCGGCTAGGATTATTATGGCACAACTACTGAAGTATGCGATACATACAGTGATCAACAAGTTTACGAATGCTTTTTCTTTGAAGCAAGCACCTGATAAAACTAAAAAAGGGTAATTCTGTATTTCAATAATATGTTTTCGAGGTACAGTAACGCCTGTACTGAGCAAACCATAAATTGAGCGGACCCCCAGAGCTTTTGCATCACATGAGCCTTAGAGGAACTAAAGAAAGAAAACTTAAAAAGAGAAAAAAAGTCAAAGAACAAAATAAACTTCATAAACAGGGAACTTAATCAAGAGATTTTAGTTTCATTTCTAATCGATTTCGGTTCTGGATTATATTATGATCTTACCGGCGAGTGTAACAGGGTGTCTGCATGATTTAAATTCCACAAAGTTTGTTTTCTTGCATTTCTAGGCTTTCAAATTGGACTCTATCTTAAAATATGATAAATACACCACATTCGATGGTTTGACATAATTATACTAAGAATGACGTAATACTGGAATTATAATTGGGGTATTGCCTATAAGTAAGTATGACAAATAACAAGTTCGACCTTCCTTCATTCTAAAGTACGTGTTGATTGATATCAATTCACCGAGGAAGGATAAATTCAAACACTGATCTTACCAAATAAGGAGAAAAAAAAATCCTCCGTTTTTCTCTGACTTCTCCGTTATGTGAAAAAACACCGAGAGTTCTAGGCTACTTTTGTAATAATAGAAAATTTGTTAGTCTCTTTTCAGGATATCTCCATTTTCTAGTAATCCGTTTAGTAATGGAGGGACGTGCACTCAAGGCAAGCGGTCTGGTGAATTTTCCTGCTAGTACCTTCCAGAAGTGACCGTGCTTCCGTTTATTGACGACAATTGTAATATTGGTAAGGGGTTTCAAATTGTTCGTAGGGAAAAGATTTTTTAATTAGAGAAAAAAGAAACCACCGAAATTGACATTAATTTGCTAAGATTGCCAACTTTGGTTCCCAAGAGAATCCCATACGTAAATATCTTAGAAAAGCCCCATTGGTTTTCGAATATAACCTTTTTTTCTTCGTTGACTCGTTGTATTACGCTACGTATTAATTTTTTAAACGCGTTGCCTTGTAAAATCCCATAACCACGAGAAAAATGCAAAATTTTAAGCTTTTCATTCCTCTCCGGCTCAACCGATAGGTTTTTAAAAGATTTCAAGAAAACAGCGCATCATTTTTTGTTTCTTCTGTTTTCTATATCATATTCAAAGATACGAAGAAGATGGTACGCCTCAAATCTGTGGAAAGCGTGTTCCATATTAAAACAGGCAGGTATGAGTTAGACTATGACAACGCTAAACGTTTATGTGCACTTCAAGCAGCGCAATTGGCCACATACAGCCAACTACACAAGGCCTGGAAAGCTGGTGCTGATCACTGCGAGTAAGTAAATGTCTACTTTTTTCTTCCCCTTTCACTTCATCTTTGTAATGGCCCGTTCGTCCTCGATGCTTAAAAATCCACATTGCCGTCATTTACATTACCTAGTTTTGGAGCTCTTCCTCATGGGCGTGTAAATGACGCTCTTCCTTTTTTCAGTCCTATGTTTTATTATTACTATCAATTAGGGTGCATAAAAAAAAACCTGCCAACACCTACATTTTTTTTTAGTATTTTCTTCCCATTAATTCTGCTGTTCGAAGCTGAAGGATGAACTTGAAAAATATAGCAAACATAATAAAATGATGCTTGTAATTAGTGCATTTCAATATATAACGTTTAAATACTCGAGCCTGAAGGCGGGAAGCTGATTAAAACTAAAAAAATAATCACCATCCTCCTTAATCATAAGAGAACGCTTACCCTCCGTAGCGCTTTGTGTAATAAGTCCCGTCGGACTTTGTAGAAACATTTGTCGTTCTTTGTAATAAGTTATGTACAGATGGTCGGAAGAAAAAAACTATAACCACGATCAAACAGTTGACGATCAAATTGCATGAACCTCGAGAGCCTTTGTATCACGCGAGCGCTAGACAAAGCGTCGTCTTCCATGTAAACATTTGAAAATGAAAAAGTACGAATTCGGACTTAAAAAATTATATTTATAATTATAGTCACAAGACGAACTGAGGAAAGAAAATGAACTTCACAAGCAAGGAACTTAATCAGGGTCTATAATAAGAGATTTGAATTTCATTTCCAATCGATTTCTCACGCTTCGATCTGTTGAGTAGACAGGATTTTTTGCCATGAAAACAAAAGCGCGATGCGAAATCTTCCTTTTTTTCTATGACTTCTCTATTATGTTCAAAAACACGGAGAGTTCTAGGGTACTTTTGTAATAATAGGAGATATATTAGTCTCTTTTCAGGATATCTCCATGTTCTAGTAATCCGTGTAGGAAGAAGAAGCGGTCTGGTGAATTTTCCTGCCAGTGCCTTCCACAAGTGACCGTGCTTCCGTTTATTGACAACAATTGTAATATTGGTAAGAGGTTTGAAGTCGTGGATTAGAACAAAAAGAAACCACCGAAATTGAGACTTGCTTTTGCTGGGATTACCAAGTTTGGTTCCTATGGGGACTCTATAACTTCATATCGTCGAAAGCCCCCTTTGATTTTCGAATATGACCTTTTTTTCCATCGTTTGCCTGTTGCATTACGCTACGTAATAACTTTTTGAACGCTTTCCCTTGTAAAATCTCATAACTATGAGACATATACCGAAAACGCCGCATTATTATTTTCTTTTGTTTTCTATATCATATTCAAAGACACGAAGAAGATGGTTCGCTACAAATCTGTGGAAGGAGTGTTTCATACTAAAACAGGCAGGTATAAGCTAAACTATGAGAATGCCAAACGTTTATGTGCACTTCACGGAGCACAATTGGCCACATACAGCCAACTACACAAGGCCTGGCAAGCAAGAGCTGAAATGTGCTCGTAAGTAAAAGTTTACTTGTTTCTTCCCCTTTCATTTCGTCTTTGTAACGGCCCGTTCGTCTCCAATGCTTAAAAATCCATATTGCCATCATGTATATTACCTAGTTTTGGAGCTCTTGCTTATAGGCGTGTAAACTACACTCTGCCTTTTTCATTCCTATGTTTATTATTACTGTCATTATTATCATTACTATTACTATTAATAGTGTTTTTATCATTATTATAATAATAATAATAATTATTATTATTATTATTAGTAGTAGTATTACGATATTTTTGTGATATATTTGATATCCAGGTATGGATGGTTGATCGATGCCACCGTTCTCCTCGCAATGCAGACAAAGAAGATACCGTGTGGAAATAAGATCGACCTTGTTGGGCATTCATCACCAAGACCCAAAAGCCAGACTTACAACGCTTGGTGTTTCAAGTAAATGCATCGCGCAAAGAACAATTCAGTATGTTAAAACTGTCTATGGAGAGAAACTTCTCATTTTCATAGTGTTACTCTAGGTTTTTTTTTTAGCTTTTTGTCGTAAATTTTCTTTGCTATTTTTAATATAGTTTCCTCTTTAGTTTCATTTAGAACCAATTCATTTTCCATGGCGTACATAGAAAAAAACTTGGCTAGACCTGCATTTTTTAAAATTATTTTCTTCCGTTGAATTCTGCTGTTCGAAGCTGAAGAATGAACCTGAAAAATTTAGCAAACATAATAAAATGATGCTTGCAATTAGCGCATTTCAATATATAGCGTTTAAACACGCGAGCCTGAAGGCGGGAAGTCGATTAAAACAAAAAAAACTAGAAGTATCACCTCCCTCGTTAGTCATAAGAGAACGCTTACCTTCTGTGGCGCTTTGTCATGATCTTCCCTTTTAATAAGTCCCGTCGGACTTAGTAGAAACACTTGTCACACTTTGTAATAACTTAAGTACAGATGGTCGGAATCAAAAATATATTGTGGTCAAAAACCGTGATTATGTTTCATCATAATTATTGCACTTGAAAACTTTTTTTCTGAAATATCTCGCCTCATTAACCCACTTCACTATGCTTACGTTGCCCATTTTGTTTAGACTTCGAATGTGCTGGAACATAGTTGAGAATCATCAATAATAATCAGAAAAAGTGACATCTCAAATGATTGGCTGGTCTAAAATACCAGTGTGCCAAAGAAACATCTCAGTATCAAAAGTTCATGTTCAAATTTCCTTCTCTATGTGCAGCTGTTTGCAAGAAGGCATTTCCATTCTGTCGCAATATCTTGAAAGGGGAATGAAAGCAACAGTAGTTATCGATTTTTAACACGAGTTTAATCAGAAAAAGAGGACCAATGTTACATTTTCAATTTTAGCTAGTTGTTACGGAATCCCGGCTATGGGCTCTAAGAAAACTGTCATGACGATATGACTGGCAGATGAAGGAAAAAAAGAAAGAGACCTGGAAAAATTCAGGCCTCTGAGGGATTCGAGCCTCTGCTCTTCAGATACTAGTTTGTGGGTCATTCACAAATTTTCATAGTGTTACTCAAGGTTTTTGTTTTAGCTTTTTTTCATAAATTTTTGTGCTGTTTTCAATATAGTTTCCTCTTTAGTTTCATTTAGAACCAATTCATTTACCTTAGCGTACATAGAAAATAACCTGGCTATAACTACATTTTTTTTAAGTATTTTCTTCCTATGAAACTTGAAAAATAAAGCAAACATAATGAAATGATGCTTGCAATTAGTGCATTTCAATATATAACGTTTAAATACGCGAGCCTGAAGGCGGGAAGTTGATTAAAACTAAAAAAAATAATCACCTCCCTCGTTAATCATAAGGGAACGCTTACCTTCTGTAGCGCTTTCTGATGATCTTCGCTTTTAATACGTCCCGTCGGACTTTGTAGAACACGTGTTGCACTTTGAAATAACTTAGGTACAGATGGTCGGAAGAAAAAATATATAGTGGCCAAAAATCGGGATTATATTTCATCATAATTATTGCACTTGATAATTTTTTTTCTGAAATATTGTGCCTCAGTAACCCACGTCACTATGCCTACGTTACCCTTAGACTTCGAATGTGCCGGAACATAGTAGAGAATTATCAATAATAATCAGAAAAAGCGACATCTCAAACGACGTGGCCTGTCTAAGATAACAATGTGACAAAAAAACATCTCAGTATCGAAATTTCGTGTTTAAATTTCATTCTCTATGTGTTACTGTTTGCAAGAAGGCATTTCCATTCTGTCGCAATATCTTGAAAGGGGGAATAAAAGCAACGATAGTCATTGATTTTTAACACGAGTTTAACCTGAAAAAGGAGGCCAATGTTATATTTGCAATTGTAGCTAGTTGTTACGGAATCCCACCTATGGCTCTAAGAATACTGTCATGACGATATGACTGACTGATCGGCATTTTTCTCAGCCATACTTCACGATTTAAGATCATTTCACCCTGGGACATGTCTCAATACCAAAACTCCCCGTTCATTTCGCTGGAACGAGCGTTTTCTACCTGCATTTCAAAGTTCGCTTTTCTCTGGCTATGCCCTTGACAATCAGCCTGGACATGGCCGCAGAAAAGACTTGGGCACGAGGTCAATTTTCTCCCTACCGCGAGTGGTACGGTCGATCAATGTACAATACTTACCCTATCCCCACAGAGACACCTTTTTGCGCTAAAATGCTATCAATGGGGAAGAGATGCGGTGAAATTGACGGTGAAGCGAATCATAAAAGACTTAAGAGTGGCAAATTTTCAAGATGAATATACTAAGATTTCATTTTGGGGACTTTGGGGATGGATTACTGCTTTTGAAATCACGGGAGAAAAGTTTATTTTAATAAAGAACACATTTTTAAGTGCGAACCTAAGATAAATATTTAGGTATCAAAGCTTTTCGCAAATCGGAATCCGACGTCAAACTTAAAAAATAATTTCTTTTTTAGCAATGTAGTATGTAAGTAGGATTTGGATTTTAATAAAGTTATACAATGTAATACATTGAGCTTCTTTCTTACTGCATCTATTATATTTCATCCTTTTGTGTTGTGCGCCTCTCTTAAAAGTTTGCATGCGTGGGTAGCACAGTTGGTTTTCAAGTATTTTTCTTTCCAATTTAATTGACGCACGAAAGTAGCTGATGCCTCTCATAACTGTTTGATGCTTTATGGAAAACAAGTTCTTTGTGAGCGAAAGACAGGTGCATTTGATATTTATGTTTGACTAAATAAAACTATCTAAGAGACGAAAACTCTTTCTGTTGTAACGCTACACAGTGCATGACTAAGGACATAAAAATGAGATGCTATTCTTACATGGGCGATAGAACTACAAATTTTACAATTCTGTTCGAAGTGTCTACCTATTCGACTCTTTAATTTTGCATATTTACCAAAGACTGCCTACTGGAGGTAATCTACCTCCCATTGCTTCAGAAACATTAATCTAGTGATGTCATTCATTGACACAAGGGTGGAAAGTCTAATTACAACAAGGAAATTCGGCTCGTTTAAGACGGGTATTATTGTATCTAGCTAGAAAACCTTCCCAAAGTCCAGATGCACTTTGGATATCACATCGCCGTTTTGCCCAATTTTCTTCTCGGGATATTCCCTTTCCTGAGTCTTGGTCAGCATTCAATTAGGCAAGGCAGACAATTTTACAAACTGGTGGACAGTTATCTGGTGGGAAACACAACATCGACAAGACACGTAGAGGACTATTTTGACTGTTCCTTCCTCTGTCTGGAGCACGAACCATTCGCTTGCTTGTCGTTCAATATGGCTCGGAATAGTGACAACGGCTATCATATCTGCGAATTAAGCAGTTCAGAGAGATACCTTGAGCCGCAAAGAATAGAAGAAAGGCTCGGCTATGATTATTATGGCACAACTACTGAAGTATGTGATACGTCTTACTTGTTTGTAATCCTGGGTTTATTAGTCTGTCACAACATTAACTGTGATCGAAAGGTTTACAACTGTTTTTTTCTTCAATGCAAGCATCTGATAAAGTAAAAAAGGGGTAATTTTGTATTTTGATAGTATGTTTTCGAAGTACAGAAACACCTGTACTGAGCAAACCTCAAATTGAACGGACCCCCGGAGCTTTTGCATCACACGGGCGTTAGACGAACTAAAAAAGAAAAACAGAAGAAAGGCTCGGCTATGATTATTATGGTACAACTACTAAAGTATGTGATACGTTTTAGTTGTTTGTAGTTCTAGGTGAAATGGTCTGTTATAACTGTAACCACGATCACACGGTTGACGATCACTTTTTTACTTTCATGAAGTCATCTGATAAATGTAAAATAATTTAAATATTGTATTTCAGTTATATGTTTTCGAATTACAGTAACACCTGCACTGAGCAAACCTCAAATTGCATGAATCTCCAGAGCCTATGTATCACGCGAGCGCTGGACAAAGCGTCGTCTTCCATGTAAACATTAGAAAATGAAAAAGTGCGGATTCGGACTTAAAAAAATTATATTTATAATTATAGTTACAAGAAGAACTGAGGAAAGAAAATGAACTTCACAAACAAGGAACTTAATCAGGGTCTATAATAAGAGATTTGAGTTTCATTTCCAATCGATTTCTCACGCTTCGGTCTGTTGAGTAAACAGCTGAGGATATTTCGTCAGGAGCTCAAAAGCGCGATGCGAAATCTTCCTTTTTTTCTATGACTTCTCTATTGTGTTCAAAAACAAGGGGAGTACTAGGGTACTTTTGTAATAATAGGAGATATATTAGTCTCTTTTCAGGATATCTCCATGTTCCAGTAATCCATGTAGTAATGGAGGGACGTGCTCTCAAGGCAAGCGGTCTGGTGAATTTTCCTGCCAGTGCCTTCCACAAGTGACCGTGCTTCCGTTTATTGACAACAATTGTAATATTGGTAAGAGGTTTGAAGTTGTGGATTAGAACAAAAAGAAATCACCGAAATTGAGACTTATTTTCTGGGATTACCAAGTTTGGTTCTTATGAGGATTCTATAACTTAATATTGTCGAAAACTCCCTTTGATTTTCGAATATGACCTTTTTCCATTGTTTGCTCGTTGCATTACGCTACGTAATAATTTTTTGAACGCTTTCCCATGTAAAATTCCCATAACTATGAGACATATGCCGAAAACGCCGCATGATTTTTATTTTCTTCTGTTTTCTATATCGTATTCAAAGATACGAAGAAGATGGTTCGTTACAAATCTGTGGAAGGAGTGTTTCATACTAAAACAGGCAGGTATAAGCTAAACTATGAAAATGCCAAACGTTTATGCGCACTTCAAGGAGCACAATTGGCCACATACAGCCAACTACACAAGGCCTGGAAAGCTGGTGCTGAAACATGCGAGTAAGTAAATGTTTACTTTTTTTCTTCCCCTTTCACTTCGTCTTTGTAACGGCCCGTTCTTCTACATCCCTTAAGGAAATGCCGATGGGAATTGTCTCAAGTTGTGAGCAAAACTTCTGTAGCAAAATCTTTATCTTTAGGTATCATACTAACAGTTTATTTTGGTAGCCGAAAGTTGAACATGCAGAAAATTGATAAGGTGCTAATAAAACGTATGCTCTGTCCTCTGGGAATGGGTACCCAATAAGACTAAGTCTTCCTTATGCAAAGACACTGTAATGACTTGTTAATGCACCTCTCTGCAGAGAACACTTTTGTTAGATGGTTTTTGATTTGATAATTAATTTGTTTGAAATTCAGGTTTGGATGGTTAATTGATGTCACCGCGCGCTTCCCAATGCAGACGAAAAGGGCACCTTGTGGAAATAGGGTTGGCATCATTGGCTATTCTTTACCAATATCCAAAAGCCACACTTATAACGCTTGGTGTTTCAAATAAGAGTGTCGCGAAAAGAATAATTTTAGGAGAGATAGATAACCAAGGCAACATCGCCACACGCTAAACCATGACGCGTGGCTAACAAACAGCTGCTTGTCTGGTTGACGGAAAACTTAAAAAAAAAAAAAAAATAGAGCGAAACATTATTTGCGTAAAGAATTCTTATTTTCTTGGTTTGTATCTTCTTGAGCAGCACTGTCTGACGAGCGCTTAGTCAGAAAGTTCTGTCTGACGAGCGCTTAGGCGCGAAACTCAGAGTAACAGAGAATCGATGCGTCCTCTTTGATTCTTTCAACTATACATACTCAGCTCTGCTACCACAGCATTGAGCACTTTATGCCAAGGTAGACTCTACCCCCACATTTATATATATATATATATATATATATATATATGTATATATATATATATATACATCTGAAAGTAAGATAAATCAATGAGACATAACTTTTCTGTGACTCTGATATATATATAAATGAATGTGGGAGTAGAGTCTACCTTGGCATAAAGTGCCTAATGCTGTGGTAGCAGAGCTAAGTATACATAAGTTAAAGAATTAAAGAGGACGCATCGATTCTCTGTTACTCTGAGTTTCGCACCTGAGCGCTCGTCAGACAAAGTTCGTCAGACAAAGTTCTGTCTGACGAGCGCTTAGGCGCGAAACTCATAGTCACAGAGAATCGATGCATCCTCTTTAATTCTTTAACTTATGTATGCATATATAAAGACTCACTTATGTAGTATTAGTAGTAGTTGTCGTCGGGAGTGACCGACTATTTAGAAAGCTATACCGTGAGAGAGAGCTATAGTGGAAGATTGCTAATTTAAACACCGACGGCCCAAGCCCACGTCTCGAGAAAAGGCAAACGATAAATTAATGAAAGCGTCACGCGTTGTGTAACTCGTTGTTAATTTACAAGAGGAACCTTTGATTATTTGAACACGTTATAAGGAATAGTATGGGGAGCCAAATAAGGTCGATTTAAAACGATCAATATTTCAAAATATGGACATTTTACTCGAAAAATCAATAACACTTGCTCACATCCTTTGTGTCCGTTATATTTTCTGGCAATTTCTGCCGTTTTAAGCTCGCTTTTCCATCACTGTTATTCCTGTCAAAAGACCAAGTCAAGGCTGCACACTCCAATTTCGACCGTTGTCCACGCGGAGGTGGTTTAAGTCCCGAAAATTCTCCCGATCGGCATTTTTCTCAGCGATACTTAACGATTTAAGATCATTTCACCCTGGGACATGTCTCAATACCAAAACTCCCCGCGCATATCGCTGGAACGAGCGTTTTCCACCTGCATTCCAAGTTCGCTTCTCACTGGCTATGTTCTTGACAATCAGACTGGACACGGCCGCGGAAGAGACTTGGGTACGAGGTCAATTTTCTCCCTGCCGCGAGTTATACGGTCGATCGACGTACAATACTTACGCCATCCTCACAGAGACACCTGACCAAAGATAAATGTTTAGGTATCATAGCTTTTCGCAAGTCCGAATCCGACTCCTTACTGCATCTATTATGTTCCTTCCTTTTATGTCGTGCGCCCCTCTTAAAAGGTTGCATGCGCGGGTGGCACAGTTGGTTTTCAATTATTTTTCCATTCCACTTAATTGACGCACAAAAATAGCTGAAAGATGCGTCTCATAACTGTATGATGTTATATGAAAAACAAGTTCTTTGGGGGCGAAAGACAGGTGCATTCGATATCTATGTTTGAATAAATAAAACTATTTAAGAAACGAAAACTTGTTCTGTTTCGTAAGCCTATTTGCAACAATTAACAGTACATAACTAAGGACTGACTAAAATGAGATGATATTTTTACGATGGGCTATAGAACTTCACATTTAACATTTCTGTTTGAAGTGCCTACCTATTCAACTCTTTAATTTTGCATATATATCAAACTCTGCCCGCCGGAGGTAATTTAACTCCCATTGCTTCAGAAACACTCATCTAGTGATGTCATTCATTGACACAAAGGTAGAAACTGTAAGTAAAACGAGGAAATGCGGCTCGTTTAAAATGGGTATTATAGTATCTAGCTACAAAAAATTCTCAAAGTCCAGATGCATTTTGGATATCACTTCGCCGTTTTGCCCAATTTTCTTCACGGAATATTTCTATTCCTGAGTCTTGCTCAACATTTAATTACGCGAGACAGGCAATTTTACAAACTGGCGGACAGTTACCTGGTGGTAAACACAACATCGACAAGACACCTATTGGATCAGTTTGACTGTTCCTTCCTTTGTCTGAGGTACGAACCATTCGCTTGCTTGTCATTCAATATGGCTCGGAATAGCGACAACAGCTATCACACCTGCGGATTAAGCAGTTCAGAGAGATATGTTAAACCGCAAAGAATGGAAAGGCTCGGCTTTGATTATTATGGCACAACTACTGAAGTATGTGATACGTCTTACTTGATTGTAGTTCTAGGTGGAATGGTCTGTTATAACTATAACCGCGATCAAACAGTTGACGACTATTTTTCACTTTTATGGAGTCATCTGATAGATATAGAATAATGTAAATATTGCATTTCAGTAATATGTTTTCGAGGTACAGTAACACCTGTACTGAGCAAACCTCAAATTGAACGAACACCCAGAGCCTTTGTATCCCACGAGCGCTGGGCAAAGCGTCGTCTTCCATGTAAACATTTGAAAATGAACATGTGCGGATTCGGATAATACATATAATTATAATTACATGACAAATTGAATTTATTTATAATTAACAGTTTATTTTGGTAGCCAAAAGTAGAGCATGCAGAAAATTGATAAGGTGCTTATAAAACGTATGCTCTGTTCTCTGGGAATGGGAACCCATTAAGACTAGATCCTCCTTACGTAAAGACACTGTATTGACTTGTTATAATGCACCTCTCATAAGAGGACACTTTTGTTAAACGGTTTTTGATTTGATAATTCGTTATGCTACGTTATTTAGAGCTTCTTAACGCTTGAAATATTTCATTACGTACTGACTTATTTTTGGTAGTTTGCTTGAAATTCAGGTATGGATGGTTAACTGATGCCACCGCGCGCTTCCCAATGCAGACGGAAAAGGCAGTTTGTGGAAATAAGGTTTGCATCATTGGCTCTTCTTCACCAATATCCAAAAGCAATACCTACAACGCTTGGTGTTTTAAATAAGAGTCTCGCGAAAAGAACAATTTTAGGAGAATTAGGTAACCAAGGCAACATCGCCAAACGCTAAACCATGACGCGCAGCTCACAAACAGCTGCTAATCTGGTTGACGGAAAACCGAAAGAAAAAAAAAGAGAGAAACATTAGTTGCGTAAAGAATTCTTGTTTTATGGTTTCTACCTTCTTAAGCAGCACTCAAAGAGACTAAAGAGTCAGAGTTACACTTCCCAAGTAAGCGGCTTGTTGAGAAAGTTTCTCGAACAAGACTCAATATGGCGTCGTGTAAGATAGAGTTTTCATTAAATTTGAATCCAAAATTGTAAGGATAGGCCTCTTTATGGAATCGCAAGACTCGATTTGTGTTATAGCATCATAGCATGCATGCTCTACCGATTGAGGTAACAAGCTTACTGCTTAATTAGTATTCATTACTAAGAAGATCACATTCACATTGATTTCTTAACAACCGCAGTTCACATATATGATTTTCATATATTCGCAGTCATGGATTCATCCCTTCACGGATTCATTAAGATCCAACACCGGTATCACAAAGATCATAGGCCGTAGAGGCCTAATTTTTTTTTCAGGCCTTATTTTCTTTCAATCCTTAATTCATTCCAGTTGTCCTCAAAAAGGCGTAGAATGCCCAGAAGGGATTGGTAATAAATTCATTATAATCTCTGTTGTAGCTAGGTATCCAAGTTTATGTATAATACAGCAAAATTAATAAAAAACATAAGGTCGCTCATGTAGCCACATAAAGAAAGCACCACAGTTGGAAGAACTCCCATCTTGAGTGGATAGCAGCAGATATGACACGAATTTAAGAAAATATATGACATTTATTAAAAACGCGTTTCGACACTTTTTCTGTTGTCTTCAGTTCTGATTTATACAAAGTATAAAGTTTTAAAGGGTATAACAAAATGCTAATTTGGCAAAACGATCAATAGAAAAAATTGAAAACAGTGTATGCAATTACAAGGAAAATTTATCGTGTTAATTCAAAACTTTCCTTGAAATCGCACACATTGTTTTGTTTCTATTGTTTGTTTTGTTCAATTAGCACTTTGTTCGTTCCTAACTGCGATTGGTGAGCAACAATTCCGTAATCATTTTTATCAATTATTAATATGATTATTATCATTATTATCATTAAGGCATCGAGAACGCTATTTCTGGGAAAGTCTTTTTTTAATCTTATTGTGTGGAGACATTCGGTTTTTTGTTGTTGTTGTTGTTGTCATACCCAGCATTTTATAGCTTTCTATTAGATATTTTACGAATGTACTAGAGATAAAACAAAGGTGATATAACTTTTCTGTATAATTATGCAATTTCGAAAAAACCTTTTTTTGGCAATGTAGGTAGGATATGAATTTTAATAAAGTTATGTAATATCTATATAGTAGTAGTATTATTATTCAATCATGGTAATAATATCACCGAACAAATAAGAAATAAGGAAAATACATCAAAACAAAAGCGGAAAAAGAAAGAGAGAAGGAGAGATCGACAAGGCTATATACACTTTGCCTACAAAGATGATTGACGATTTTACCCAAACTTCACGAAGTATTTGTAGCTGTTAATATAAGCTTACAAAAGAACTGAGTAGCACATCGATTCGAATGAAAAAGTATGTACATCTAGTAATGAAGACGTTGAATTTCTTTCTTAATACATCAATTCTGTTTCTAACTTTCGTGCTGTGCGCCCCTTTTGGAGGGCTGCGTGCGGGTGTAACACAGTTGGTTTTCAATTATTTTTCTCTCCAACTTAATTACAAAGCACGAAATTAGCTGATGCCTCCTATAACTGTGCGACGTTTTTTGGAAAACAAGTTGTCCGTGAGTGAAAGAGAGGCCTGTTTAGGTGCATTAGATATCTATGCTTGGCTAAATAAAACTATTTAAGAAACGAAAACTTGTTCTGTTTCGTAAACGTACTTGCAGCAATACACAGTACACTGATAACTAGGAACATAATATGAGATGATATTCTTACGATGGGCAATAAAACCATACGTTTTATATTTCTATTCGAGGCGTGCAGCTGGTTTTCAATTATTTTTCTTTCCAAATTAGTTACAAAGCAAGAAATTAGTTGATGCCTCTCATAACTAATCTCATAAAGATGCTTTTTGGAAAACAAGTTCTTTGTGGGCGAAAGACAGGTGCAATCGATATCTATGCTTGACTAAATAAAAACCGTTAAGAAACGAAAACTTGCTCTGGTTTGTAAACTTACTCGCAGCAATACACAGTAGATAACTAGCGACATGAAAATTAGATGTTATTCTTACGATGGGCAATAAATTAAAACTAAACACGTTACATTTCTGTTCGAGGTGCGCAACTGGTTTTCAATAATTTTTCCATTCAACTTAATTACGAAGCACAAAATTGGCTAATGTTTTTTTGCCCATTGAAAAACAAGTTCTCTGTGAGCGAAAGATAGGTGCATTCGATATCTATGCTTGACTAAATAAAACGATTTGGTCAGCATTCGGTTAGGCAAGGCAGACAATTTTACAAACTGGCGGACAGTTATCTGGTGGGAAACACAACATCGACAAGACACGCAAAGGACTATTTTGACTGTTTTTCCTCTGTCTGGAGCACGAATCATTCGCTTGCTTGTCGTTCCATATGGCTCGGAATAGCGACAATGGCTATCACACCTATCAATTAAGCAGTTCAGAGAGATATCTTGAGCCGCAAAGAACGGAAGAAAGGGTCGGCTATGATTATTATGGCATGACTACTGAAGTATGTGATACATCTTAATTGTTTGTAGTTCTAGGTTAAAAAGTCTGCAACAACATTTATTAAACCCATTTTGAAATCACTGGTGGTCCCTGTAATCTGATTGGCTCTAATTGATGTGATTTACGAATCGCACCATTTTTTGCTTTAAATCGCATCCTTTTCCCAGCCAATGAGGAGGCTATACTCAAAAAAAAACCAACCAAACAGATTTCAAGACTTGTTTAAGTAACCGATCAAATTGCAGAAAAATGAAAGACGAAGAGTATCATATGGCAAATTTTGCAACTTTTCTTTCCAAAACTCTTACATTTCCCCTCAAAAAATGGATGAACTCAGTTTCCGACCGGCTCATAACTGCATCAGTAAAATATTTGAACTGACCAAGTCCTGTATTTGGGGGTGATTTCAAAATGGATGTAATAAGGTGGTAATTGAACCTCATGTCGTGCAATTTTGATTTGAAATCATACTTGTGATTTCAAATCAAACTCGCGCTATGTGCTCATTCGATTTTGAAATCACGCTATGATTTCAGCCCAAATTGCACTCCATTCAGTTTAATTACCATTATTAACCATGACTAACAAGTTTACGATTGCTTTTTTCTTTAATGCGAGCATCTGATAAAGTTTAAAAGGTGTAATTTGTATTTCAATAATATGTTTTCGAAGTACAGTAACTCCTGTACAAAGAAAACCTAAAATTGACCGGACCCCTCAGAGCTTTTGCATCATACGAGCCTTAGACGAACTAAAGAAAGAAAACTTAAAAAAGAAAAATGAATGAAATGAATGGTGAATTTTCCTGCCAGTGCCCTCCAGAAGTGACTGTGCTTCCGTTTATTGACGGCAATTGTAATATTGGTAAGAGATTTGAAATTGTTTGTAGGAAAAAGAATTATTAATTAGAGAAAAAAGAAACTACCGAAATTGACAATAATTTGCTAAGATTGCCAAGTTTAAAATATTCAAGTTCACACGGCAACCAGGTGGACAATCAGACATAGTTTAATGCTACTCTGGTTTGCAGATTTAATGAATGTTACCGAAGAAGTTACAATTCATATACCCAACGTTTCGACACTCCTGTCTAGTGCCTTCATCAGGAGTGATCTAAACGCTGCAACAAGAGGTCCTTTTATATGATCACTAATTAGCGGCCTTTTTTTTCCGACGAGGTGTAAATTGCCAAGTTTGGTTCCCAAGAGAATCCCATACGTAAATATCTTAGAGAAGCCCCATTGTTTTTCGAATATAACCTTTTTTTTCTTCGATGACCCGTTGCCTTACACTACGTATTGATTTTTTAAATGCGTTGCCGTGTAAAATCCCATAACTACGAGAAAAATGCAAAATCTTAAGCTTTTCATTTCTCTCCGGCTCAACCGATTGGTTTTTGAAAGATGTCAAGAAAACAGTGCAGCATTTTTCGTTTCTTCTGTTTTCTAAATCATATTCAAAGATACGAAGAAGATGGTACGCCTCAAATCTGTGGAGGGCGTGTTCCATATTAAAACAGGCAGGTACGAGTTAGACTATGACAACGCTAAACGTTTATGTGTACTTCAAGGAGCACAATTAGCCACATACAGCCAACTACACGAGGCCTGGCAAGCTGGTGCTGATCACTGCGAGTAAGTAAATGTTTACTTTTTTCTTCCCCTTTCACTTCATCTTTGTAACGGCCCGTTCGTCCTCAATGCTTAAAAATCCACATTGCCGTCTTTTACATTACCTAGTTTTGGAGCTCTTCCTCATGGGCGAGTAAATGACGCTCTTCCTTTTTTCAGTCCTATGTTTTATTATTACTATCAATTAGCGTGCATAGAAAAAAACCTGCCAACACCTACATTTTTTTTTAGTATTTTCTTCCCATTAATTCTGCTGTTCGAAGCTAAAGGATGAACTTGAAAAATATAGCAAACATAATAAAATGATGCTTGCAATTAGTGCATTTCAATATATAACGTTTAAATACTCGAGCCTGAAGGCGGGAAGCTGATTAAAACTAAAAAAATAATTTTAATTAAAAAGGTAATTCTCCTTAATCATAAGAGAACGCTTACCCTCCGTAGCGCTTTGTGTAATAAGTCCCGTCGGACTTTGTAGAAACATTTGTCGTTCTTTGTAATAAGTTATGTACAGATGGTCGGAAGAAAAAAATACATAGTAGTCAAAAATCGTGATTATATTTTATCATAATTATTGCACTTGATAATTTTTTTCTGAAATATCGCGCCTCATTAACCCACATCACTATGCCTAAGTCACTCATCATCAGTAATAATCAGAAAAAGGGACATCTCAAATGATGTGGCTGGTCTAAAATAACAATGTAGCGAAGAGACATCTCAGTATCGAAATTTCATGTTCAATTTTCATTCTCTATGTGCAACAGTTTGCAAAAAGGCATTTCCACTCTGTCGCAATATCTTGAAAAAGGGAATGAAAACAACGATAGTTATTGATTTTTAACCCGAGCTTAACCTGAGGCGAGCTTAACCTGAGGCGAGCTTAACCTGAGGCGAGCTTAACCTGAGGCGAGCTTAACCTGAGGCGAGCTTAACCTGAGGCGAGCTTAACCTGAGGCGAGCTTAACCTGAGGCGAGCTTAACCTGAGGCGAGCTTAACCTGAGGCGAGCTTAACCTGAGGCGAGCTTAACCTGAGGCGAGCTTAACCTGAGGCGAGCTTAACCTGAGGCGAGCTTAACCTGAGGCGAGCTTAACCTGAGGCGAGCTTAACCTGAGGCGAGCTTAACCTGAGGCGAGCTTAACCTGAGGCGAGCTTAACCTGAGGCGAGTCATAAAAGAGTTAAGAGTGACAAAGTTTCAAGATGAATATCCTAAAATTTTATTTTGGGAACTTTGGGGATGGAATAATCCTTTTGAAATCACGTGCGAAAAGCTTATATTAATAGAGAACACATTTTCAAGTGCGAACCTAAAATAAATATTTAAAATAAATATTTAAAATAATTTCTTTTTAGCAATGTAGTATGTAAGTAGGATTTGGATTTTAATAAAGTTATACAATGCAATACATTGAGCTTCTTTCTTACTGCATCTATTATATTTCATCCTTTTTGTTGTGCGCCCCTCTTAAAAGGTTGCATGCGTGGGTAGCACAGTTGGTTTTCAATTATTTTTCTTTCCAATTTTATTGACGCACGAGAATAGCTGATGCCTCTCATAACTGTACGATGCTTTATGGAAAACAAGTTCTTTGTGAGCGAAAGACAGGTGCATTCGATAACTGTATTTGACTAAATAAAAATGTTTAGGAAACGAAAAATTGTTCTGTTGTAACACTACACAGTACATGACTCAGGACATAAAAATGAGATGTTATTCTTACATGGCTAATAGATCTATAAATTTTACAATTCTGTTCGAAGTGTCTACCTATTCAACTCTTTAATTTTGCATATTTACCAAAGACTGACTGCTGGAGGCAATCTAACTCCTACTGCTTCAGAAACTTTATCTAGTGTTGTCATGCATCGACACAAAGGTGTAAAATCTGATTACAACGAGGAAATTCGGCTCTCTTAAGATGGGTATTATCGTATTTAGCTTGAAAAAACTTCTCAAAGTCCAGATGCATTTTTGGTATCACATCGCCATTTTGCCCAATTTTCTTCTCGGAATATTCCCATTCCTGAGTCTTGGTCAGCATTCAGTTAGGCAAGGCAGACAATTTTACAAACTGGCGGACGGTTATCTGGTGGGAAACATAACATCGACAAGACACGTAAAGGACTATTTTGACTGTTCCTTCCTCTGTCTGGAGCACGAACCATTCGCTTGCTTGTCGTTCAACATGGCTCGGAATAGTGACAACGGCTATCATACCTGCGAATTAAGCAGTTCAGAGAGATCTCTTGAGCCGCAAAGAATAGAAGAAAGGCTCGGCTATGATTATTATGGCACAACTACTGAAGTATGTGATACGTCTTACTTGTTTGTAGTCCTAGGTTAATTAGTCTGTTACAACATTACCGTGATCAACAAGTTTACGACTGCTTCTTTCTTTAATGCAAGCATCTGATAAAGTTAAAAAGGGGTAATTTTGTATTTCAATAACAAACCTCAAATTGAGCAGACCCCCAAAGCTTTTGCATCACACGGGCGTTAGACGAACTAAAAAAAGAAAAACAGAAGAAAGGCTCGGCTATGATTATTATGGTAGAACTACTGAAGTATGTGATACGTTTTAATTGTTTGTAGTTCTAGGTGGAATGGTCTGTTATAACTATAACCACGATCAAACAGTTGACGATCACTTTTTTACTTTTATGGAGTCATCTGATAAAGATAAAATATTGTAAATATTGTGTTTCAATAATATGTTTTCGAAGTACAGTAACACCTGTACTGAGCAAACCTCAAATTGCATGAACCTCCAGAGCCTTTGTATCACGCGAGCGCTAGACAAAGCTTCGTCTTCCATGCAAACATTTGAAAATGAAAAAGTACGAATTCGGACTTTTCGAAAATTATATTTATAATTATAGCCACAAGACGAACTGAGGAAAGAAAATGAACTTCACAAACAAGAAACTTAATCAGGGTCTATAATAGGAGATTTGAATTTTATTTCCAATCGATTTCTCATGCTTCGGTCTGTTGAGTAGACAGGATTTTTTGCCATGAAAACAAAAGCGCGATGCGAAATCTTCCTTTTTTTCTATGACTTCTCTATTATGTTCAAAAACACGGAGAGTTCTAGGGTACTTTTGTAATAATAGAAAATATATTAGTCTCTTTTCAGGATATCTCCATGTTCTAGTAATCCGTGTAGTAATGGAGGGACGTGCTCTCAAGACAAGCGGTCTGGTGAATTTTCCTGCCAGTGCCTTCCAGAAGTGACCGTGCTTCCGTTTATTGACAAAAATTGTAATATTGGTAAGAGGTTTGAAGTTGTGGATTAGAACAAAAAGAAACCACCAAAATTGAGACTTATTTGCTGGGATTACCAAGTTTGGTCCCTATGGGGATTCTATAACTTCATATCGTCGAAAGCCCCCTTTGATTTTCGAATATGACCTTTTTTTCCATCGTTTGCCTGTTGCATTACGCTACGTAATAACTTTTTGAACGCTTTCCCTTGTAAAATCCCATAACTATGAGACATATACCGAAAACGCCGCATTATTATTATTTTCTTCTGTTTTCTATATCATATTCAAAGACACGAAGAAAATGGTTCGCTACAAATCTGTGGAAGGAGTGTTTCATACTAAAACAGGCAGCTATAAGCTAAACTATGAAAATGCCAAACGTTTATGTGCACTTCAAGGAGCACAATTGGCCACATACAGCCAACTACACAAGGCCTGGAAAGCTGGTGCTAATCAATGCGCGTAAGTAAATGTTTGCTTTTTTCTTCCCCTTTCACTTCATCTTTGTAAAGGCCCGTTCTTCTCCACCCCTTAAGGAAATTCCGGTGGCAATTGTCTGAATTTTTGAGCAAAACTCCTGTGGCAAAATCTTTATCTATAGGTATCATACTAACAGTTTATTCTGGTAGCCGAAAGAAGAGCACGCAGAAAATTGATAAGGTGCTTATAAAACGTATGCTCTGTTCTCAGTGAATGGGAGCCCAATAAGACTAAATCTTCTTTATGTTAAGACATTGTATTGACTTGTTAATGCACCTCTGATCAGAGGACACTTTTGTTAAACGTTTTTGATTTGATAATTCGTTATGTTACGTTATTTAGAGCTTCTTCACGTTTTGAAATATTTCATTAGGTACTAACTTATTTTTGGTAATTTTCTTGAAATTCAGGTATGGATGGTTAACTGATGCCACCGTGCGCTACCCAATGCAGACGAAAAAGGGAGGTTGTGGAAATAAAGTTGGCGTGATCGGCTCTTCTTCACCAATATCCAAATCCAGAACCTACAACGCTTGGTGTTTTAAATAAAAGTGTCGCGAAAAGAACGATTTTAGGAGAGATAGGTAACCAAGGCAACATCTGCACATTGGCACACTCTAAACCATGACGCGCGGCTCACAAACAGCTGCTGGTCTGGTTGACAGAGAACCAAAAAAAAATTGAATGAAACATTATTTGCGTATAGAATTCTTAGTTTGTGGTTTTTACCTTCTCAAGCAGAACTCAGAGAGACTAAAGAGGAGTCAGAGTTGCATTTCTTAAGTAAGCGGCTTGTTGAGAAAGTTTGTCGAACATGGCTCAACATGGTGTTGTCTAAGACAGAGTTTTCAGTAAATTTGAATCCAAAACTGTAAGAATAAGCTTCTCTACGGAATCGCAAAACTAGATTTGTGTCATAGTTTCATTAATAAGAAAACTCTGTTTACATGCATGCTCAACCAATTGAGGTAACAAGCTTACTGCTTAATTAGTATTCCTTACTAAGAAGATCACTTTCATATTCATTTCTTAATAACCGCAGTTCACATATATGATTTTCATATATTCGCAGTCATTGATTCATCCCTTCACGGATCTATTACGAACCAACACCGGCATTATGGGCCGTAGAAGGCTAATTTTTTTTCAGGTCTTATTTTCTCTAGTGCTTAAACAGTGTTTGTTACTGCGAAGATCGCTTTCATGCGCGCAAAATGTATTCTGTTGCCCAGTTCGCTGAATCATTTCTCCGCTTAATTGAAAAACACTTTTCCTTATCCTCAAGACTTCCAACACCAACAGCCCTTTCAATTGGACAAAAGTTTCACTACAAACGTGCCCAAAATTACCAAAAACCATCACTGTAAGTTCGTAAATAGATTTTCTCGTGTGTAGCAATTGTGGGATCTAAAACAAATCAGTAATAAGTTGTTATTACCACTGAACAAAACCGCGGACTACAAGAGTCCTGCTGATAGCCGATTTCTATTAAGTTTGTTTAATCAAATTTTCTTTTCGGCCCGACTTTTTTTGCAAAGAACAGATTTGACTACTTCTGTTTTTAACATAGGAGTAAATATCAAGCACTCAAAGGTTTCATAGTCCTGGAAAACAAACTGCTTAAAATTCGTAATGCTTAATTTAAAAAAAAAAATTGATTCTTAGCGTGCATCATTGCTCTTGGGTTTAATCCGAGAAGCAATTATGTCACTTTAAAACACAGTGTGACACTTTCATTTTCCATTGTAGGCAGGCATTATATTTAGTTATTGTGGAAAGCTTTTATGATTTCTCTCTTCAAAAGCCGAGGTGCAGCGTCCTAGACAACTTTGAACAAATGCCCTAAAGCGTTCAAGGTGAACGTGAACCTAAAAACGATAGGTGTTGTCGAAAAAAGCAAAAAAAAAAAGTGTTGAAAAGACTGATTACAAAATAGGACTGTGCGAAAGGTGTTAAAGAAATTGTAAAAAAAAAAAAACGAAGACACTTATGTAATAACTTTTGATGCTGTCGCGTTACGTACGCGACCTAGTGACATTCTTTGCCGAAATATCTTCGTCCGCAATTAGTAGTTATCGTAATAAAGTGTTATATAATTCTGTAGCAGAGTGTTTCTTGGCTCTCGAGCTACGTAGCCATTCCGAAGGATTTCGAGATAATTTTAGGTTTAGATTCGACCCAAAGGGTCTCAGGAGTAGTTTAGTGTTTATTTATTGGTGTTTCGTTAGACCAAAAGGAAAGAAAAGAGAACGATCTTATCTTCCCTTACTCAAAGACATACAGGCAGTTTTGATGATGGAAAAATTTTATTTCTTCTTACACAATCATCCTGGTGGTATAATTGACTCTGGCAGCATGCTGCGTTAAAGCAACGTCTCTTTAAATAGGTAACGTCAAACTGCTCAATCAATTACCACGTTTCGCTGTGTCCACAGTTTTTTTTTTACGGTCAACCTTCTACCTTCGATAATGATGTATTTCACAAAAAGCTTCACCATTTTGCTGATCTTTCTTGTCACAATGATGAAACCACTTGGTTTTGCTCAGCACCTGATCAAGCACGATAGGCAATTTTACAAAATGGCGGATATGATCTTGGTTGGAGATTTAACATCAACAAGAAAAGTCAAGGACATTTTCGAGTGTGTCTTCCATTGCCTGGAGCATGGTCCATCCGCTTATCTTTCGTTTAATATTGCTAAAACTTCTCACGATGGGTTCTATAGTTGTGCTTTGAGTGACTCGGAAAGGTGTCTGGATCCACAAAGAATGCAAGGAAATCCTAGCTTTGATTATTTCGGCACGTCTGCTGAGGTAAGTTTTTGACATCTGCCTCTATAGCTCACTATGAAAACACTGAAAATGAGATTAACAATCCAGGGAATCGACATAAATCAGCATAACTCCTAAACAATTACAATATAGTGACTGTACTAGGCTAAAACTTCGGAGAGTAAATCCCACCATTCTAGGCCATGGAGGAACTCTAAAAAGTGTCTTAGTTTATCCCTCCTCTGGCAACTGACTCGTAAACTTAACGCGAAACAGATCTTAAAAGGAGGACATACCTCATTGATAGCTGAACCTTCCAGAACAACAGTTGTTATGCAACTTATTTTGAAACCTTTTGTTCAAGGCCCATAACTTATTCTAAAGCAACTACCCTGTATTACCATTGCCTCACCTCTGCACGCGTATTTCGCCTTTTGAAAGTAAGAAACATATAAAATTGAACCTACTAATCCCAGCTAAAGTCTGCTAGCTGAGACGATCGGAAGATCATACCGCTTTCCCCAAGCCTTTGCATTATGGATGGGAAAATAAGCCTAGACCAACTTGCAGCTGCTCAAAACTGCATGATCACAGAGCTTATTCCAGAACTTATCGGGTCTTTGCATCCAAATTAGTACCAAATATATCTTTTGGTTTTGAAGTGACTCCTCTCTAATCTGATTAGAATTTAGTTTATTTCAAGCCTATCTACATGTAACAACAGCCCATGTAGTAATGGAGGGACTTGCACTCTTGGTTCACGATTGGATGAATTTTCCTGTCAGTGTCTCCCAGAAGTTATAGCGCTGCCATTTATTGACGATAAGTGTAACGTTGGTAAGTGTAGTGCAAGTTGCTTTGCCTAAATTTCTTTGGCTTAACGAGGAAGAAAGCTTACGGGATACTGGATATCTAATTAACGAATTATCACCTTACTAATCATACGTAATAGGTTTAAAACGCTATTGCCATCCCAACATCACGCAAAGGTAATGATATAATGTGACATATTCCTTAAAGTTTAATATAAGGGCTTTTTGTCTTTTGCCTACTATCTATGGTAATATACTGAGAACTCATACATGTACATAAGAGAACTTTTCTATTTGATCGTTAGCCCCTCTTTCCCATTCATTCATAAATTTTTTAATTCTTTGAAAAAAAAAGGAGAAAAAAACCATAAAAACAGAGGCGAAATTGTAACAATGATTTCTCACGCTTAAATATTCGATGCTATGGGTAATTTCTTTTATTTAGATACGAACATCATGGGAAAGACGCTTCCTACAGAGCGAGTATTTCAAACCTACGCTGGAAGATACAGACTGACCTTTTACGACGCAAAGCGTCTGTGTGCTTTACACGGAGCTATGTTGGCCACATACAGTCAGCTGCACAAAGCTTGGCAGGCTGGTCTTGAAAGATGCGCGTAGGTTGCTGCTCACTTGTTTGTATGCATTTGTCATGGCTATTACGTGTCTACATGTAAATAATACTAGCTTACAGAATCTCGTCGCCATTTATAGGTTGCGTTTGCCAACATTTTTTCTCCTTTTGCTTTCCAGACGTGGATGGCTCATAGACGCAACCATTCGATTTCCAATGCAAACAAAAAAGAATGGTTGTGGGAATAAGATAGGCATTATTGGATCGGCCGAAAAACAAAGCAAAGGCGACAGGAGCAACGCGTGGTGTTATCTTAAGTGACAACTCAACGAAGACCATGAATGAGAGAAAGGAGTTGGGATCCAGTCTTTATTTGTCACCTGAGAGAAGAGGGAGGAAGGATGTCGGGGGGAGCACGTGGTTTTGGTGGTAAAAAGGGTTCGGGGAATTTGTAAAATTTACCGCCAATTAACTGCTAATATTAGATAAAAATGACATAAAGATTAAATGAAAATGAGCACCCTTAATAGATAGATGACTTGATTTATACACGGAAAAATCAACACAATGTAAGAGTATAAACTATCTCATTGTGCCTAGCTGAACTAACCAATATTTAATACAGTATCATAGGAATAAAAACCAATCATATCATTTGAACTGCCTTTCTAGGATGCCTTGTCTCATTCAAAAGCAATAAGGACGTAGTTCATTTTCAAATTCGCTTAAGGGAACTGTTGATCGGATCAACCGGCAACATGGCACCTCTGTGGGAAAACCTTCTCTTCAAATAGAGAGGTTGTGGAACAGCCAATTTAATAAATAACTTTCCGAGAACTAAAATTTTTAAGCGACAAAACCGAGCATAAAGCTAACACAACACAGATAGTAATTCAGATTTTGAGATCATATTCCTCCTTTAAATAAATCCAAAACTTCTGAAATGATTTTTTTTTTCCTATTTTTCTTTTTTTTTTTTTAACGCAAGTAGACATTTCCATTTAATGCTTCTGTGATCGTGTTTTAAATTATTGCCCAGGGATTACTCCTATAACTTCAACAGTCTGCATCCGCTCTCACATCAATAGACATGTTAACGATATCTCAGGTTTTGCTTACATACATTGCCAGCGACACATGGTAACTGACATGAACTATTTGGAGCAGTTTTCACCCTTATTTGTTTCTGTAAAAGTAACTAGTGCTAATGCTTTTAGAAAGCTTTCAATTTTGAAGCTTAAGCATACATGATAAATATTGATCAGCAGCTACAATGCGACTACAGCCCGAGGCTACTGCTGTAACTAATTACGCTTGAACATAGAGAATCTGAGAACTCAGCAATCCTTATTTCATTCCAGTTGTCGTCAAAAAGGCGCAGAATGCCCAGAATGAATTGGTAACAAGTTCATTATAATCCCTGTTGTCGCTAGGTATCCAAGTGTATGTATACTCCAGCAAAATTTCTAAAAAAACATAAGGTCGCTTATGTAGTCATATAAATAAAGCACCACAGTTGGAAGAAGTCCCGTCCACGTAAACAAAAATAACAAAAAAAAAAAAAGATTAGATGTTCTTATCAAACAAAACCGCAAAGTTACCACGATTCGCTATCAGATATGCAGTGGACCCGATGAAAATGATCGAAAAGAGCCAGAAAAAAATGCGATCACAAGTAACAGCAATTGAACGCCAGATTTTTTGATTGTCATCTTCTGTGAGCTCAATGCCATTTCCGTCGCCCTTTACCTCTGTCTGCTGTAGCTCCGTATCAACTGGGACCTGAGTAATATTCGGTTCTGCATCACCTCCAACTGGATTGCTATTGTTTGTTACGGCATTGCCTCTGAGGAGTTTTGCCATCGTCCACTTTCTTCCAACTCTTATTTTCTTTAATTTCTTGGCTTTGTGCTTCTTATGCAGAGTTTTAAAACAGTTGGGTGGTTCACTTGCTGAATGGTAGATCCTCAAAACAATAATCGTACCAATCAATGCCAGGGCTATCTCAAACATAGTGATGGTGTAGTAGACACCAAGAACTGGCAACGTATCCGACTTTTCTGGGAGCATATCAGCCATGATAAGGAGATAAACACTGATTGAAAGCATGACGGTGGAGCAAAAACCAATCCGTTCACCATTTTCTGGAGGAATAGCGAAACTGGCCAGAACCAACAGGGTACAAAGGACGCAAGGTATAATCATCAGCATGATATAATAAAGGGGCCTCCGTTTGATCTCTAGTGTGTATGTGATAAGAGGGTATTCCAGCCTTGCATCTTCGTGCCGTTGAGATATCTTCCTCGAAATATGCACGTATATGTGTTTAAACTCCCATTCCCCATCCTCATCAAGATGTTCGCTCTTATTTTGTTTTCCTAGAAAAAAAGTCGAAAAATTAAAAAACAAAACAAGATAAAAAGGAAATAAAAGGGCACTTATCACTTTCAATTCAACTCTCAAGACATTCGCGCCAAAGGATGAATTTCACACAATAAATGCATAAAGGAAAGCATAACCAGAAACTCGTTTACAAATAAACAAACTATAAACAAATGCCAGACTGCTACCTAAAGGGCGTATGGAATGAATTTCCAGCATATTACTTCCATAACTCGCCGAAGCAAAAGTAAGAGAACACTCCTGCTCATCGAAAGGAAACGAGCTGACCTCCACGCTGCAACTACTCTCAAGGTTTGCCATGGATCCCCAACTACACCCTCCAGTGCTATCAACTGCGACCCAGTTCTTGAACAGTTCAGTGTGACCAGCTTTCCGAACCTGTTTATCACCACTACAGGGCAATAAAACAACAACTCTTTGCTCAATTCATTTATTTTCAATTGATGACTGACGGCTGCCGATTATTAACTGATTGATTGATGGATGCACTTTATAACGGACAAATTTCTGGCTGTGTGCCTGCATTGATCGATTTATTGATTGATGGATGGACTCAAAAGTCATAAGTGTGCAAGCATGGGATCGAAAATGACACTCATAAACAATTTAAAACCCAAAAGTAGTTTACTTGTTGTAAAGGACAATGTCTGGCACCCATATTTCCGTTGGGCTCACGAGGATCTGATCAATACCTCCATATTCTTCTTTCTTCCATTCGAGGAACGGATTCTGCCACCTCTGCAAAATTTTAATGATACCGCAACTGAGAGAAATGAGTTCAAAGAAAGCGAGAAGTGGAAATCATCCAATAAAGTAACGATGTCTCAGGTCTCTCTATTTTTGCACTCGTGGTTGTCATAGTTACTACCTCATAAGTTTATTTATTTGTAAGCATTCCGTTTAGTCGTTCAAAATTTTCGTTTGTTGTCATGATCAAGTTAATGAATGAGGTAAGAAATTATGAATAGATGATTAAAAGAAAGAAAAAAAATAAATCCATGAATGAATGCGTAAAAAATGAACAGCTGGATAAAACAGTGAATAAAAGACACTCTTGGCAAAGCACAAGTATACAAGCGCACTAAAGAGCGACTTGTTAAAGCGCATTGTAGTAAACACAAACCTGTAAAATCCAGACATTTGTTGCAAGCATCTGGCGCTTATTATCCTGTAATAGGCAAACACAAAATAACTCATGGAACGAAACGAATGATTTAAGTTAATCTGTTTTTCTTGTTTTAAACAGTGTTAATTGTCACTAAAGTAGTGATAATGGGAGACTCATTTAAAAAATGAGCAGTGCAGTGTAACAGTATCTACACCTCTAGGCGGGTATGTCTTTTCTACCCTTTAATAGGGTGAGGTGAAGTCTTGATAGCCTGTGATAACCTAAGAAACAAACTAACTAACTAACAAAAAGTCAACAACGTTAACAACACCGACGAACGTGTGATGAGTTTTAAAAGTTTGACTTTGAGGGACTGGCAAACAAAAATGGGTTAGTGACTGCCGGATAATGTGTGGGCGGGCAAATCGGTTTAAACATAATGTTGTGATTGATTGCATTGAGACATGCAAGATTATTCTCACAGGCTGACGGTGTTTTAATTTCTTTGTTTGTTTGTTTCTTTTTTCGGTTTGAAATCATTTGCAGTATATGTGTTAAAACAATGATAGATTTATGTTGGCATACAAAACAATGATAAATCTGCGATGGCATACCAGGTCTGTCAAGTTTAAAACGTCCATATAGAAAGAAACATTGACGGCTTCAGAGTAGTTTTCAACAGGACGGACCATGGGGTCCTTATACTTTAAAATGTCCTTGCGAAGTTTGTATTCTTCTGATTTGTTTACGCTACGAGTGATCCCTGAAATAATGATAACATAAAAAGTACATAAAAGATACTTGACATTGATCCACGTAAACTGTCAAATGCATAAGCACCGGCTGGGATCGCTAAAAAAATTAGCATTGGTAAAACAAACGTGGGTAAAAACAAATTCGAGTTGTTACATTTATTTATTAAGAGTTATTCTCTTCATTATCAATTACCAATAATTGTGAGCAATAGATAATAGAGAGTTATGGATCCACGCGGGAAGCGTAAGAGCTTCTTGAGGCGCAGCCGAAAACTATTCTAGCTCCTCGAGTTTAAACCGCGCATGTCGTTTTATGAATGCTGGGACGTGCGCACATAGAGATCTACACCATAGACGCTCCGTAGAAATTAGGTAGGGTTTACTCTCTCGAACACGTCTTATATAACTATCCTCCTTGGAAAATTATTAGTAAGCGTCTAATTATCACATTCATGTACATATGGAAAAGACCATTTCGGAGGTTGAGAGAAAAATTTTCATTGTGCATGTAAACTCGCCCCATACATGTTTTTGTATGAAAATAAACAAATCCTTTTTCATAACGATAGATGTGCACTTACCCTCGTTTTAAATAGTATGCATATATTACCTACATCTAACAGTTTAGGAAACTGCATGAAGTAAAGGAAGATTTCATCTGAAGCTCGGAAATTCTCTTTCAATTTATTCCTGTTTAATTGTTGTTTCTTCATTTATTACAAAGAGAATAATACATGGGCGCGCGTAGATGTGGAATTTTTCTTCGAGTGATTAACTCGATAGCGCACCAGTGAGCGCAGCGAACGAGAGAGATGGCAAGTTGAACACGAGAAGAGAAATTTCGTATTTGCAAGTAACCGTCTATTATTTTGTTTATCATATATACACAATAGACGTTTAATGGCAAAAAAATCTTATCTTATTTATTAATGAATGAAAATAAAAGGATTAACGACACCGAATAAAAATCGCACAATGTGTTGGCGCTAAGACTCAACATGAAAAAAATGCGTTGAAACATTACAAAAAAAAACAAACAAACAAACAAACAATGGGCGTAATTTTCACTAAACGAAATTCTCGGTTTTGACTAGATCCTTACTGACAGAAGAAGTCTCTCAGGTACACGGCCAAAATCGGCCTGTAACAAATCTTCCAGTTGTCGATTTTCGTTCGCAGCCGCGAGAAATGCCATTACTAAAGCCATTGTTGCTCGTTGCTCACTTACTTAGTTTTATAGTTGATTTTTTTTTTCCAGTAGCCGATATTTTATTCATAGAGATAGAAGTTATAGAGTATTTTATTATAGCTACACATGGGTCAATACCAGCTTTTATTATGGTACTAGCTGATCCATTTTGTAGGGTAAATAAAGTTATTATATTATTATCATTATTATTATTATTATTATTATTATTATTATTATTATTGAATACATAACTTTCGGTTTATCTTTCCGTATAAGGGTTTCCTTCCTCTTCCAGGGAAGACTGAACGTCACTGTCTCTAAGCAATACGGATTTTTCAGTGTTTTAGCAGCCATGAACCGAAAAAAAAATTACAACAAATGACCTTGGATGGAGAATGGTGAAGTGACGTGTCAGCAGCTGATTGGCGATATCAAACACACATGAAAAAATACGATATTTTTTGTGTTGTTACGACTTTTCTCAGGGCTGGAAATCCTTGTATAACACCTTAGTTTATATGATAAATACTTAATATGTTATCCTGACTGATTTTCCCTAGTATGGCTTAAGGGTCATTGTTTAACTGTACTCCTTTGGCCCGCTTAGGCCCGCAAACCTGTTATTGGTTACAAACCTTCTGAGGCAAGCAAAGTCACAACACCAAATGCTATAACTCCAAGAAGAGGAAACGTAAAATTCATCTACAAAGAAATCGCAACACATGAGCTATGCTAAATGACGGTTAAACATGAACGTAAAAAAAGAACAAAAAACAGCATACAGCAATGTTTACTACAGACCCTCATAATAAACCTCAGATTATTAAACGAAGCGAACTCATCATCGTCAATTTAATTATGAAAATTACAATTGCCACGATTGTGATTGGTTTAAAAAACTCCTATTTTCCATTTTCTCACTTGTCAAGTTGTAACAGTTTGTTATCGGACAGTGCAATAAGCGAATCACTTTCAAAGTTGTAGTTTAATCAACCAATCACACTCAAAGTTGTAGTTTAAATCAACCAATCCTAATCGACGCCTCCTTTGTCAGTCTCTAATGCAAATTTCCCCTTTCTTTCATAACTTGGCTATTCTTCATGACTCAGAAATTGTAATTTTAAGATTAATTAGTAATAAGACTTCGCTTCATCCAATACGGTCTTTAATCGTACTCGAGACAAACAAATCGGACTTGCGCTTCGCGGTCGTCCGATTTTGTTATCACTCGTATGATTACAGACCGAATTGGGCGCCACTAAGTCCATTACCATTACTTTTAATTATGTTTGAACGATCATATTCAGCATTTAGCTTCGTGGCTTGAGGAATTTGTAGGAATACTGCGTAAAATTAAGTCTTAGAACGTACCGGATATTGGTTATTATTTTATCCTATTTTATTGTTGGGATAGTGAATAATTTGCCGACATTTTAGTCCGTTTGTTGGATTAAATCATAGCACGAGAGAAAATAAATAGCAGTAATAAATCAATTTCAAAAAAAAAACACAACAACTTGCATGCTAATAAATTCCTCAATCACTTGGAAAATGAAAACATACTCTTTGTAGTTCAATTTCTTTGTTGCTTTATTTTATTTTTTCTCTTTTGGCTCACTTAGATTTGCATTTTCCTATGTCTCGTGTAGATAAGGCAAATAACAATCTGTTTGGATGAAAGTTAAAAAGTAAATAGATAAAATAAATTTAAAAAGAGTATTGAACCATGGTATATGGGCTTTGAGAGAACGCTCGAATGCAAATGATTAGGACACTACAGTAAAATTTTCCTCTGCCACCACGATTTTTTTCCCGTAATATGATCGGATCGAAAAATGTCGAGTAACATTTGCATACTAGAAATTTTTCCTTTCAACGCGTTTTTCCCCTTCAATTGAAAAAGATCACGACTCAGATTTGCTTTTTTCGAATGATAAAAAAGTAATATTAATAATAATAATGTCAAGGAAATAGTTGAGGGCTTTTGTGGCGGAGAAAACACCTTTCTTCGGTACTTTTATTGGATATTACTATATTTATCATTGCACTACGACACGAGCCGAACGTTAAAGAGAACAACTAAGAGAAAAAGAAGTATTTCACTTCTGTAAAAAAACGTCAAATTGTCATTTGTAAAATTATCACTGTTCTTGGCAGAAAAGTTTGGTCTGTTGTAAAAAAAAAAAAAAAGTGAAAAAATAAAATCACTTTGGGGGAGATTCTTCTAACCCTTTTCATTTTATTTTTTTCCCATGGCTTGGCCAAAGAAGAGATGATTGTCTGTGGAAGGGCGTAGATGCATGGATGCACGGAAATAAATCCATCAGAAAAAGCTAACATATGAAAATAAATAAACTACATTTACCTTTTATCAGTACATTTGCTCTTTTCCAGTAGCTTTTCTTCTGTTCAGCGCTCTTATGAGCCCCACCACGGCTTTCCGAAGTCGTTCTTTCCTCTTTGGTTTATTTTGCTCAAACTAGAACGCGCTTATGAAACCAATTTGAACTTCGTCATAAGCCACCAAAAAGCAAATCAAGAAACAACATTAAACTTTAAATCACTATCTAAAATAAAACCCAAGATAATTAAAATTCAAATGAAGCTGCCCACCTGCTCGAGAACAACGTTTTCAAGGTAGAAAATAATTAATTTCCCTTTCTCCGCCCTTTACAATACACGGATAGTTGTTTTTGAAGGTAGGTAGAAAATTAATTACTTCTGTCAGTTTTCAAATCTAAGTGCTTTATTTCAGCCTAAAAAGGGAGTGATAAAGGATTGTAAAAGTCGTCCCTTGTTGAGGTATACATTTTCTTGATTAAGTTACTTCTTGTAATGCAAATTTAGTGATTGGAGGTACTGTCTTTGCAACTGACATCGTGCTGTGACACTGGGAATTCGAAGATGATTTCCAAGAGATCTTGCTTGATCTCTACCTCCCACTTCGAGAACAAATCATCCAGAGAACACGCTCTGTCAACTATGTTTCCACGTTACAGTTCCCGGGAAAACATGCTCGGAAATTTGCAAAACTTTAAGGAACGGTTAATTTTGGATGAAAGTTCCTACTTTATTTGAGAGTCAAATATGCGGCACTTGCGGGGCGAAAAAAAAAGAAGGCTGAGCCGTTCCAAATTAAAGTCGGTATTCTTGATCGAATCAGTCGCCTAGCTTTTCACGAACTTTGCTCAAGGTACTACGCTCGGTGAAACGAAAGTTCGGCATTTGAACCTCGCCCAAGCCTTGGGGGAAAACTTATTAATAGCAGAACTGCCGATGTAGAATTTTCAATGTACCCTTGAGAGTGTCCACGAAAAGCCCTCTCGTCCAATCATCAATACCCTTGAAAAAACTAATAACCTAAAGAAAATGATCTTCAGTATACTGTGTGAGGGAAAATTAAAAGAGGAAGCCTTTTATTGTCAGAGTACTGAACTTGCTCGTTCAAATACAGCTTTTATTAAGCTAACCATTCCCGTGCCAAGAAGCTGCTAATCTCGATTACAATAGTTTCCCTTTCTCACTCTTTTTCCTGTGTTTGTTTATTTCCTTTGTCTGTTTGTTTGATTAACATGGCTATGTTTTTGAACGGCCATATGTCGCTGTAAATAAACTTTCGTTAAAAGAACTGTCTGTGATCTACAGCTGTTTGTTTCTAGAAAAAAAAAAGATAAAAAAAAAGACTTTTTAATTAACATTTTTTCCAACTTGTCAGTCGAACTTTTGCTGCAAAAATAAAAAGTCTTTACAGAGCAGTCGAAGTGTGGGACATAATTGAGTAAAGAATTACAGTAATTTTAATGCAAACCGTACAGTTCCTTACAGATATCATGTTCAACGTATCTCTAACAGCAACTATGCAACTTCAGGGCCACGCATGTTGTTGCTGCTTTCATTCCCGAAAACGATATTGATGTGAAGATATAGAATGCAATCTGACCTGAAGGAAATTTGAATTCGGATTTCAACGGTGTAAAATATACTTATTCTTTGCATAACCATAAGCATTTGTATAACCATTTCATTAAACTATACTTGGCTATATAACTTTCGTTCCAACATGAGACAGCTAGCGATCTAAACTGCACGTTTCCCTCCACATTTACAAAGCAGGGAAATAATGATTAAAAAAATGACTACCACTGTAATGTGTCTTTTCCACACACTAAATTTTGACCTTAGTACAGTTTGCTCCACTTCAACAAGGCAATAAATGATGCCCGCCATTTAGGCAAAACACGTTTATAGAAGTTTTGTACAACTCTTTAACTTAGTCGCCTCAATCATACTAAGTCCAATGGATCTGTGTGGAGTTTGCTGGTCACCACAAAGGATGTTTAGTAAACATTCCTTTCCATTGCCGAGAATCAGCTTCCTATAAGTAGAGGAAGAAATAAGTATCATCAAAACAAGCTAACAATACATAGACTGTGTACCAGTTATGGGCTTATAAGGATGAGGAGCTTGGTATAGGAAAAAGCATGGCCTCCGGGGAAGTCTTAGAAACTTTTTTACGTTCCGACTGATTTTTCGTCGGTCGGAATTGCGCTAATTAAAGCAACATAAGCCGTTTACTTCAATAAATCTCGAAAAGTTCTAGAAAATACACAGTTTTCGATTAAAAGAGCGAAATGAAAACGTAATTAAATACTACCATTACAGAGGATCGATATTATACAGGACTTCACAGGCTAGGAAACCGCATATCTCATGCACAAAATAAAACTGGCACCAGCCCAAGAGAGGGCACAAAAGACGGGCCCTCAGCCCAAGTAAGATCTGCATCAACACAATTACAGATGTTTTCAAACGCACCTGGAGTTTTGAATTCAAAAACATTAATCTCTGTTCCAAAGTTTTCACTTCCTGTACACGTAAAGAGCAAAATATCAATAGTAATACTTCAGCACAAAAGTATACAACGACCTTGAGAATATTCAACAGACAAACCGATAGGACAAGAATACTATAAAATTCCCGTTGGGAAAATATTTAGGTCGAGGTCATGAAACATGGTCCGTGCCAAGGAGGTCTATGCGTCATGACCAAAACTCAGGCAATAAGCATGTTATCGTGTGACCAATGAAAGACGTGACCTTTTTTGCCCATTCTGTTTCCTTTGCGTTTTTGCACCGAAAGCAATGTGAGTGCAGGGTCGGACGGCTTTTCCGGACTGGCTCATATCAACCCACCCAGTCCAACACTCGTCAGCTTTCGCTATGGTTTTCAATGGCATTGCACACAGAAGGCTGAACAGGTCGGTTAGGAACAATCACCGTCATCACCTGATTATGTTCTAGCTACTTACTGACTAGTTTGTCTTTCTTTCAGTTTTCTGAAAGTTTTGAAAACTAGTTAAATTCAACCTAATTGGATAAATTTTGTAACTGTTGTCTCCAGTCTACTCACCGCGCTAAGTTTAGCATCTCGTAACAGTGACAGTTGAGGAAGAGTTTCCTCCAGCCTGCTAATCTGCAAATTAAGATGTACGTTATACAGTCACTTAAAGCATGAACACAATGCCCTGAAGGCGAAGCGAAGTATAATTACAGCTTTATTTAAGTGTTAACTGCTGTACCATTGTGCTTGATGTAGTGATTTCATACATGTTTGCCCCTTAAGTTTCTTTGAATATTATTTCATACATGCTGGGTAGCACTACCACTGAGATACAGACAACTTTCTAAAGAGCTGGTTCATAACAAAGTTCACATGTGACATTTGTCCTGTGCACTGCTGGGACTACAACAAACAAACAAAACAATAAACAACAAGCTTTGTTACCAAATTGAGAAGTTAAACTTAGTTTACATACATAATATATTGATACAAAAAAAAGTAACATTTACTCAGAATAACTGAAAAGCTAATCTAGCTAAGTAAAAGTAAATAATGTTTAAATATAGGACGTACAGGTTGGCACTAAAGCTTGAGCAAAGCAAATTATTGGTCAAAAAAAAAAAGAGGATAAAAAATAGATAAATAAAAATAAGATGAAAAAAAAGCAACACTACAAATGAAAACTAGAATAGGGCAGGTGTTTGTTTGTTTATATTTGTTTTTTTTTAATTTCGGTTTGGAGAAATTTCATTGACCTGTGAATAACACTAGCCAAATCTCCAATGTAGCCTCTAGGTCTGCTGATGGTTGGACAATAATTATGGTAATGCAATGATAATTATTATTGTTACCAACAACATGCCAACAGACCAATGAAATATATCTGAATGTTGGCCATCTGTCAGGCGACAGTTGGCCGACAACAGTCAATAGGGTTTTTTAGAGACTCTTTCTTCACAATTACCCTTGGTGGCAGGAGAATTAGCATTGCATACATTACCATAAACAGATACGTGTCTACCAACCACAGAAGTTGGTCTTTTCATACAAGTAATTATAGTGTAAAATTGAACGCACCCTCTTGGTAAATATTGTTAACTTTCTCTGGTATGTTTCATTGTAACTGGGCACATCAATTCTTCTAGGACTGGGTTTTACTGCGGGAGCAAATTCAGTTAAAGGAACACATCAGTCATTGTTGTGTAATTGACATAAAGGTGAACCAATACTTAAGTTGCTATGCAATCATATAGACAGCAAAAACAAACTACAGTAATTGAAATGATAGATGCATGTACTTTTATTGTTATATGCTTAAGATTTCTTCCAGGCAGAGTCTTTGAGGTCTAGATTACACAGAAGGTCAATTGTCTTCGTGTTATCACCAAAGTTTTATCATGATCTATTTCATACAAAGACTCTGGCAGCAGCTCTACCTCAAAATACCGACAGCTGAATTATCTGATAATCAGAGTTAATTTACTTACTACAATAGGTCATAGTGCCTCACCTGATGAATATCTTCTACAAACTTCAAGAATGTAAGGGCTGTAAGAAATAAAATACAAGAATGTGATTTCAGTTTTCATCAATGATATGGTGTACCTGCAACTGTACTGTCTGTACATCCAGCTGACAACATACTGGAATCACACAATCTTGCTCAATTGATTAAAACACACATGTACATATAGTTTACGATTTTTTCATCCTTTTTCTGAGTAAAAAAAACCGCCATTTTGAACACATTGTTTTACTGGGTAAGGTGAAACTAATAAGTGCACACCATCTTAATAAAATAATACATGTGAATAGCACAGAAAAAAAAAGTACCTTGCAACTGTATTTTCAGGAGTTCTTCTACTTAGTGGTATGAGAGAACCTCTGCCATTCCTTAGCTAAGAGAAAATAATGATCTCAACAACAACAATAATAATAATATTAATAAATAATAAATTAGTTAAAGAGTTTTGTTAATGTACAGGGACATAATAGAGAACTTGCAACGAACAAACCTTTAAGACACTGGTCTTTTCAAATCCTGACAAACCAAGTTGCTCTGCAAGATCCTTGAAGCATCCAAAGAAAATAACTTGATCAGTGAAATAAATAAATATTAAATAGAAATTAATAATAAACTATTATGCATATATATTTAATCTTCAATTCGTTCGTTTGGTGTTGTGGATAGGGAAAGGCATTAGAAATATCATGGGAACAAAAATTTCACCAAATAGTCAATACTTTTATGTGACTGTTTTCACAGTTATTTTCATTTGTATAATTGTCAACTCAAGTTTTGGGCGAGTTTGGGTTGTGGTGAAATCTTATCCTTGATGTTTATCGTATCCAGTTGTTTTGGGTTATGGTAGTGTCAATAAAGAGCCGAAATCAAAAGGGATATCAATCTAACCATGGACAATAGTGAATCAGAACATACACTAAAATAAACTATATGGTTTGATAAAAGCAAATTTTGTTTATTTCCATTTAACAAATAGCACACAGGCAGAACCCGATGTAAGCCTTGTTCATTCACCTCTAAGAACTTTGTTTTTTCATAGACCTTGTCTTCCTCCTCTACTCCATCGACACAGTTGAACTGGAATCGCTTTAGATCAGACATGACTGTTGGAAGATCAGAAGACAATACACAGTTGCCTTCGGTGACCTTTTAACGCTTCAAACTACACCATTTAACCTTGAGCATCTATCAAATCATTTGTATCATGTAGAATAACTAGTACTTATAACTGAGAAATTACATGAAAGCGATGCAGTATGGAAGCGAAATATCGGGTATCATGATATCAAACTTATTGCGTGAAAACGAATCTGGTATACCTTCTCCATCTTTGACAATTATCCAAATGGTTCTCTTCTCGCTACTCATCCTCATATTGCGACAAAGAGTAGGTTCACGAGAAGAAAATGGTAGTAAATGTGTTCACTCGCCTGCGACCCTTCAGTTCTGCCGACCTTTTGTTGACTGTTGTTGTCTATTTGTAAAGTTCGTGTCAAGATGGTTTGTTCAGCGGTTTACCATAGGAATGAGACTGGCTTCATTTAAGGTAAATTGTAAGACTGGTACAAAATGGCTGGTTCTTCAGACGGAGAAGTACGAACGGGTAGAGATCAACAAGTACCGTTTGAGGTAAACTTAAAGTGGATTGTATTTATTTGTTTTACTATATTTGCGGTTTTTTAACTTACGGTTGATTTCATTAGGCAACAGAGATTACGGATGAAGACAGAGCAGTTCTCAGAGATTGTGCAAGAAACAGTATTTGGTTTAGAGGTAGCCAATATGTCGAAATAAGCTTAAATAGAACCAACGATTCTCGTCAAGACATCGCGGTATAATTTAGTTATAAAGGATCCTAGTTTATTAATTGAGGTTCGTGTCCACTGTAGCTAGTTGTTGATGGTAGTCCACCATGCAAGAAAAACTTGTCAGTCCAACAAAATTAGAACTTTTTCCAGACCAATAAGTAGGTGAAAGAATGACTGAATTGCTGTTAGACAAGGTTACAAAAAATCGTTGTTGTTACTGTCGTAGCATAGTCCTGCAATTGTGCTTTTGTTTATCTTGATGTTGTTATACCATTGATAAAAGCCATTTTGCTGAATCAAAGGACAGGTTAACCCTTTTCAACTTAAGATCAGTATGCATATTCTCCTTACGGCTCCCTATACATTTCCCAGGTGTTGAAAAAGAGAGTTTGGTCAACAATCAAGAGCTTCTCTTGTTGGTGATCATTTTCTTTAATATCATGACCTTAACCATTTAACTCCCAGATCAAATTTGTAATCCTCCTTACTGCCAACCATACAATTCTTTTAACGTTAGTTCAGAGAATTTAGTATTGGATCAACTAATTTTCCCAAAATTGATATTTTTCGTTGGTCTCATCACTTGTCTGGTTGATATTGTATTGATATTGTAAGGAGAAATTCTGTCTTGGTCACTCATGGGAGTTAAACGGTTAATGTGTGATTGAGAGGTGATGTTGTGGAGAGAAATTATATGCTTGTCATTCTTAGGTGTTAAAGGGTTAAATTGCTCTACTTGTGGATGTTTTACTCAAAAATGCAAAATTGAAGTTTTAATCTCCTCGTAAAATTACAAAACAAATCATTGCATCTTGAATAATTTGTGCATTGGGGTATATATTTATTTTTCTTATTTATAGGTATTCCTCTCGGTATTGTATCAACTCTTGGTCTAAGGGAATTGCTAATAAGAACAGGTAGGTCTATGAACACACCATTTAAAAACTATTCACCAAAATAGAGGTGGCTATTGGTGGATATGTACATGTAGTAAGCCGCAAAGTGGTGAGCCAAACACCAATTTCTAGCCACCCACACTGAGGTAATAGTTGTTTTAAATTATATTTTCAAAAACAGTGAGATAACATTATGATTTTAACTCAGTTGTTCCTGGAATGATTACAATCTCTCAGGCAGAAATCCTGAGTGATTTGTTCAGAGGTGAATACCAAAGGATATTCAGAGTCGATTAGACAACAAGAGCACACTTTCACTGCTATCCTACTGTTCTAATAAATACTAATTGGTTTTATTAGAGAGTACCTTTTTTTCTCTCTGTCATGTGAAAGAGCACTTACCATTAACCAAGTGCACCTGGTTGGAAATTTAGCCAAAGGTGATTATTTAATTCCTGTGATTAGCAATAGAGGAATTTTCTTGTGTTTACAAAGCCTCATCTAATCACCTAGGTGATATAGAAAATCCTTAAATGTTAAGCAAATTGTCAACTGTCTGCTTTGTTCCTTCCAAAGGTTATGTAACCAAGCTGAAAAATTTCAAAGGGTTGGTGTACACTGGTAAGATACAATGTAAAGCATTAGAAAAGCTTCATTTACAATAGGATTATTTTTAAACAGTTTTCAGCTTCCATAATTGCTAAATTTGAGTATTGCAAGTACATGTAGATGTATGTCAAAATGTGATCTGATGAGGAATGACTGAAACAATGATTTTTTCCTTCTTAAAAGGAGTGTTTGCTACAACTTTTTATGCTGGTGTGCAGTCTTATGGTAAAACATGCATTGCAAAGATATTGGCATTACCAGATAATTCCAAGCTGAAAGAGGCGGTAATCAAGAACCTGCCAAAAAGGTATCAGTAATTAAACATTGCATACTTTTGGTTTTCACCCCCTGAAGGCTCATTAGATGGTTTACTTACAGGTGCAAGATATTTACATGGCATGGTTCTATGTGAGATTATTATCATTATTAATTGTTATTATTAACTATTATTATTAATATTATTGTTAAGAATTATTATTACTATTATAACAATTGTTATTATTATTGTTATTATTGATATTATCATTATTGCCATTGATATCTTTTCCTTAAAATTATAACGATGATAAAGATGTGTATATCATGTTTTTCCATTGTTCCTTCTGACATGATTGATTTAGGTGTTTCTTTCACTGGTATTTGTATATTAATGTTTCTGTTAGTGACGGTCAATTTTAACTTTAATTTGCTTTTCCAAGTGCTGGGCAGACTAACTTTTATCAAGACAATCTGAATTTACAAGGTTTGTATATATCATGTGTCAGTTCAGATAAATAGAGAGTGATGAGGAGTCCTAACATAAAGTCCTGTCAGCAGATCAAGCCTTTGGCACAACATTAAATGATGGTTGACACTTAAAAAAAAGGGGGAATCCTGACTGTGAGAAAATCCAGTTTGTTTCAATACATGGTGTTTAAATTTAAGTATTCATGTACCAGATTAACTTTGCCCTGTGTTTGTGCTATAATCCACATCACCATCATCATCATCTTCATCAGCATTATCATTGTGCAGTCATCATCATTATTGTTTTTTTGTCATATTTCAGTCCATCTGTCTGCCCACCTGTCCACATGTTTGTGTCATCTTGTGTATCCATTGGTTGATTTGTTTGTGTACCACCTTATACAAAATTGGTGCAAAAAAACAAGAAAAAGGGAAAAGTCACAATTCTCTATTTTATTTTTCTTCAAGGGAACCAGTGGGCAAGCCCTTCAGAAGAAGAATCCATCATGGACATGCAACTTCCCCTTTCCAGTAGCACTGCTACCCCCAACAATCAATCAAGTGAAGATGATCATAAAGCACCAAAGCTCTATTTTGATGTTGATGAAGCAAAGGAGAAGAAATATGCAACTTATGAAGATTTGAGAAAGAAACACCGTGAAAGATGGAATCCTCCTAGTCTTTCTTCATCGAGTCAGACCAGGAAGGAGCAGGTGGGAAAAGTTGATAGCCTTCTCAAAAGGTTCTCGTAGACATTTTTTTGCATGCCTAGAGCAATGGCTAGGGGTACATAGAAAGTTGAGGGACCAAGTTGATCGTCTCAAATATGATATAAAAGGCATCTTTAAATTGGGAAACTTAAGTGATCTATTTTTGGATGGAAGACTGAAAGAAACTCTCAACTCGGAGCTCTGCTTCTCCACTTGACGTCTTTGCTGCCACAAAGTGTCACAAAGTACCAACAAAACACCGGCTATAAAAGCTGTGCTTCGTCGGTATTTTTCTAAGCGTGTCAGTCTCAACTGCCAAGCACCCCCCCCCTTCAATTAATAAAAGGAAAAAGGAAAGGATAAAAAAAAAATTGATGTACCTCTTTTAAAGAAAGATTTAAACCCATTGCAAGACCGCAACTTTCTAGCAAATCGTTAATTGTAGAGCACATTTTGAAAGTTCTGATTAACTCGTTTCACTTCCATTTACAACGCAGATCAGGCAGAAACCACGAGAAACTGAGCCAGATAGCAAGCCAAGTTCAAGTAATGTCTTCACGCCATGGTTTGACCAAGAAGGCAGCGACAATGACCGCAGCAGCCAGGAAGCTGGCCAGAGGACGAGTAATCAGCGGGAGAGGCCTTCATTTAGACAAGGTATATTGTGTCTTGTACCAGACATTTTAAATCCTCCACCTCCAAGATCTCATTGGTAATTCTCCTTACTGTCGATTTTACATTTCTTATGATGTTAGTTCAGAGAATTTGGTATTGAATTAAATAATAATTCCCTTGTTTATATTTTTTCCTTTATACTCATGACTTGCCTGTTTGATATTGCTTTGATATTGTACGGAGAAATTCGGTCTTGGTCAGTCATGGGAGTTAAATAATATTAAGTCAAATAATACTCTTAAATAATCCCATTGACGGGGCACATATAACGGCTTAGTGAGATTAGTGAGATTGGAAAAAAAGTTATTCAATTCTTACGTTTTCTTGGTGTTCTTTTCTGTTCTACAGGGCCAACACCCAGGAAGAACAAATATGGTGATCTAATCGAATGAATCGCTGGAGGAAAGAATCCTTTTTCGCGTCACTTTTCCTCCATTTCCGTTTGTTGAAATATTTTAAAGGAGACTTCCTCGTAACTAACATGTATGCTAAGTGATTGTTAATAAAGAATATTGTATCTTGGTCCAATTGTGCTATTTTTCCTGAAGCAATTAATATTCCTCACACAATCGACTTGTTGTTTTATTTTGTTTTGTTTTTGTTTTTGTTTTTGTTTTTTATTTTTATATATTTTGGTTTGGAAGTGTTGCGGGTATTTAACATAGGCGTGGGGCAAAGGTTGCAATTGCAAAGGTAGTCATGATACTTATTTCCCTGAGACATGATTTCAGCCGGGAAATATCTCAGGTTTAAGTATTTCAAGCAAGTAGTAACACTTGCTGATGGCAATAATTCAAAATGCAAGTTTAGAAAAGAGCACTGTAGGGTTCCTCTTTAAGTGTATAAAGTTGCGGTACGAGATTTCGTTCAGCACTTAGTCGACTCTCCCAATAGTTTAGAGAACCTGTGTAAGTGGTTCTCAGTTAGTAGGCTTTGAATGCTTATTTCACTTATATCATTAACCTTCACGGGAAGAGTATTTAAATTTACCAAGGCTCCTGCACTAGCAATTTCAAGATTTCGGCGGGCAGTCAGTCTCTAGATATCTTATCCAACACATATTAATGCAAAAGTGATAACAATATCATGATAAATATTAAGTAATGGTAATAAGACTGAGTGGAGTCCAATTCGGTTTGTCTCTAGATATCTTATCAAACACATATTAATGCAAAAGTGATAATATCATGATAAATATTAAGTAATGCTAATAAGACTGTGATGACAAAATCGGACGACCGCGCAGCAGGAGTCCGATTATTTATCACGACTATGATTACAAACCGAATTGGACGACACGAAGTCTTATTACCAATAAATCATAAAAATTACATTCTCTGAGAAAAGAAGAATAGCCAGGTTACGAAAGAGAGGGAACATTTGCATGAAAAGACTGACAAAGGAGGCGTAAATTGTAATCCTAATTGTCACGTGAACTACAATTTTGAATGTGATTGGTAAATTAAACTTTCTGATGACAAATTTTCCTATGACAACTTGGCAAGTGAATAAGTGGAAAATCGGCGTTTTTCAAACCAATCACAAGCGAGGAAATTTTAATGTTTATAATTTTAATAATAATAGTAATAATAGTAATTTGGCAGTGACCATTCCACGAGGTGGCTCATGCGGTTCACTTTTTGCAGATCGAATTGGAATGTGGAATTCGGTTTTTGCGTGTTTATTGGTTTGAATAACACAGTCCTGCCAATCCTTGTGAAATGCTTTGTACAGGTGATTAACCTCTATAGCCACTGGGGGCCGGTTTTGCCTTTGTTTATAATGGTTTGTTTCTTATTTGTTTTTGTTTTGTTTTGTTTTGTTTTTTGTTCTTTGTTTTTGTTTATTTACTTTTTTTTCACAGTAACAGCTTAATGGTAGAAAATAACGATTCTATTGAGGAGGGAGAAAAATTCCTCGTCAAATGGAAACCTGCTAAAGCTTTTAAAAGTCGTTGTTTTCCCAGTTGACTACCAGTACTCGTGACAGCAACATGGTATGAAAAGGTACTTGAAAGTTAATATTATAATTTCATAACACGTTTTCTTTGTCTTCGTTTTTGCAGTTCCATTGACCATTCTAAACAGGATAGTTACAATACAAATAATGGGAACTTGTTTTGGGGAAACAGACCTAGAAATTTGCCTCTCATGCACCTTTGTTGACTAAGTTATAACTTGAGGAACTCTACTTTTCTCATACGAGGTAACCAATTTGAGTTTTTGGCAAGTGACAAAGGATTTATCTCTATTATCATTTTCATATTATCTTATAATTATCCTTGTCTTTTTACACCCCTATGTAAATGCATAAATCATTTTTTTTTCCTTATATGGTTTCTTTTCTGTTATCTGCATTCGTTTCATTAGGATCTTAATGTTTCAGGAGCACTGTTTACCAGAAAAATCACTTTAATACAAGACAGCTTGGAAGGACATCAGTGAAGAGCCTGAGAGAAGATGTTGGCTCCTGGCTTAATAAATTTTATTCTCCCATTTTTACTCTTAGGTAGGTGGGGTATTGTTCGTTCGTGTAAAACATGCGTGTTTAAGCTGTTTCTAAACCAATGATACAATCGCAAGTTATTGTGAAATCAACTCATCGAATACCTTTTTACTTCTTCTGATGAATTGTCACAGGAATCTTACATTTGATCGTTCATTCATCTGCATCTCCAAAGCCAGTGTTAGTTTTGTCAACCGCAAGCCCTAATCCAACAACTAGGGCTTCGACTAGGAGTCCAACATCAGTATTAACAGGTATTTCAGATGTTTTACATCTTAATATGCGAGGCCTTTAGATTTTTGTACTGTTCGGAATCCTCTCCCCCTCGCGATTATCAAAAGGCAGGGGTTAAAAAAAAGGCAACCGCCTTAGGAGGATGACCAAAACTTTAAATAATCATTGATGTTCTTGCACACCTGTACAACCCTAGAAGGGGAGCGCTAGTTCTTTTCGATTCATGCCAGAAAACTGGAACATACACCATCATTCAGGCTGTCCAGTCTTAGTGATGCAGAGAAGCTTTTGTACAACTTCCGTTATTTTTTTCCCCTTGAGGTCGTGATAATGTATGATGTTCCCCTCCAACCAAAACCGTCTTAATTAATTATTCCTCTTTCTTAATATGGGAAATAATTGGATATCTTTGTTGTTTCTAAGATGCTGATGAAGGGCCGTATTGCGGAGATGGGCTGAGTGAGTATGATTCCTGGAAAAAATTACATAACCTTCAGTCCTTTATCTGTTTAGTTTTACTATTCTTAAAATATTTAAAACTTACCATTAATCCTTTAACAGCATGTGGTCCATATTGTCAACTCCTTTGCCTTAACATGCACAATTATTATCGGGACCTGCATGGCTCTCCACCAATGGAGTGTGATCACGAGCTGGCGATATCTGCCCAGGAATGGACAGACCAGCAAGCCGCTAAAGGTTATATGCACCATTCAAAATGGACAGATAAATTTACTGAAAGCATTTCTTGGAAAGGATGGGGTTGGGAAGGGATGGACGAAATGGAAGGAGCCATCGCTGGTGCAGTGAGAAGCTGGTATTCAGAGATCAAGAACGGTTACAATTACCAAACAGGCCGAGGTACGGGCGTCATTGGACACTTTCAAGCGGTAGTGTGGGCAGGAGAGACCAAGTTGGGTTGTGGACTTAACATCAAGCCAAACGATGGTACTTACGTCACTGCACATTATGCTCCGCCATCTCACACGAGCATGGAAAAAGAAAAAATTGCTCCAGATAATGTAAAACCTAGGAGATCACCAGGTGATTGGAATGTCTCTGCGCTTTGCTTTATCGGAAGTGTCACTAAAGCTCTCTGTATAGGATACTTAACACTGTTTTATGTTGTTGTTATCTTTCTTTTGTTTCTAAAGATGATGATCACATGCAAGCTGTCCATATTTATCTAGTTTACGATCATCATTGAATAAAACCGAGAGGCCATATTCTCTGACGTAAATTTTTTAAACTTCAGCAAGAAAAAACCGGTGTATCCCCGTGTGGTGATTATCTATCATCGTTTTATCTTGCAGAACCCGGCTGCAATATACGTTCCGGTGACCGTGAATTGTGCAGGCCGGATCTGACGGCACCATTCGTCAATCCAGGAAATTGCCCCCTAGAATGTTGCTACGACGACATGTTTATGAGTGAGCAGTCGATAGAGTTTTACAGTCGTAAGGGACGTAAGTGGTGTTTTAAGAGACAGTAAAAAGGTCAATTTTAACAATAAAAACACAACAAAAATGATTTCCTAAGTCGAAAACAGACGAGTCGTAATGATGAAATATGTACGAGAATAGTTTCTCTTTCCTTTCACTCTTTCTTTCATTTTTCGGAAAAAGTGTCAAGGGTGTAGCAAAGGAAGTCGTGAAGTTTTATCAAAATCTCCTCGACAACAAGAAAGCGGATCAATATCAGTATCTGGGCAACTGCCCACCTACCCCTCCCCTGACCCAACATTAACCCTAACTTGTTATTGAGTTAGGGGAGGGGTAGGTGGGCAGTTGCCCAGATACTGGTATTGATCCGAAAAAACAATAGGTTATGATAATAAAACGACCTAGTTTGATTTCTAAAGCTAGTAAAACACCAGTTTGACCGACCCCTTTGCCCCTTCCGTACTCAGAATGATTCTAAGAACACAATTATTGATCACAGAGAAGACTCAAAAATGGACTCAACAGTCAAGGAAGGATCTCTTTTACTCACACAGCATGATTAGCATTTCAACTATAAATTTTAAGCGCATGATGATTCGTAAATCAGTGAGCCAATTAAGAACCTTATTTTATCAATAAAAGTGAAAAATAACACTAGTAGAGTGCCCCTCTACAGAATTACAGCAACAAAGGAAGCTAACGAGACCGGTGTTTCTGGCTTGTATGTTATTGTTGTTCAGAGCATTAATTACCGAATAAGAGCAAAATAAAACATGAAAAACCCTTAATCATTTTGAATATTAAAAGCCATGTGCTGTCAACATTTTTTCAACTAGGCTTTAGATCAGCTTCAGAATAATGGTAAAACGATGATGACTGCGAAATCTCGAATGATAACCCGGAGTTACGTGCGATTTATTTCGTTTCACTCTGTGATTGAGCGGGAAACTTGTGCTAACTCATTAAAAAATCAGATGTAAAGCGAAACCAACTGTTACTTGCATTGACCGCCTGCTTTTTTATAGGTTATGTTTTCAATCTGACTTCTTATTTGTTTTTGTTGCTCTTTTCCCTAAGGCGGTCTATGGGTGCTCGGGCGCAGTTCTTCCAGCAATGCTTCATTTCCATCTTTTCTTTCTATTTTGAACGGGATATCTTTGTCTCTCTTTACGTTTCATTCATTCTAGCACGGACTGATAACTGCAATAAGGAGGTGATATCTTTTGTTTTCTGTTGTTTTTCATTTGATACGACCAATTTTGCATGAATTATTTTGGGTGCAGCGAGTTTCCGAAGGCAATCTCAGAGCGTTGTTAAGCAAAGTCAATGAAACCCTCCACTGCTTAAAGTTCCCTACTATCGCCTTAAAATTACTCCAGCCATAATTACTCAATAATGAGTCAAGGGTTCACGCTAATTTTGATTGCATCAACGAGTGTCCAATTAAGGATCAAACCTAACTTAATTCTTGCTAACAACTGCAATTATGTTGGCTGAAGCTTGATTTCTGGTCTGATCACCTTTCCGATGAAAATCCACCACCTAGGTGGCGACCGTATAAACAAAGCGGAACTGAAATGTAAAAAATAATGGAAGCACCTACACAAGAATGATAGAATGAATGCAGAAAAGGAGAAAAATATCCGATGGAATTTTGCTTCTATGTCTGAAATGTATGTATTTAAAGGCGCAATGCAGCCTTCTTTGACGAAAATGGAGTCTGGTGCTCGCATTTTTCGATTAAAAAATGATAGACGTGCGGGTCGCTGGGCAGGTACGCGTACAGCGATCAATAAGGTGTGTCGCTGAGCAGGTAGCGTACAGCAATCAATAAAATGTGTCGGATTTATCGCCCTAGGCCGTCTAGAATAACAATATCTTCTCACTCTAAAAGGGAGACAAAAACAACGAATTAGCCTCCCAGCCAGGGAGCTAATGAACAGGTAACAAAATATATACTTATACTTCTCTCAGATCATTTATGATTATCGCTAAGTTAGGTTGCAGGTTCTTTTAACGATCTTTGACGATGAACTTGTATTTTATCTCAGTTACTTTACCACGTAACTTGCTGAGATGGGAACTTGAAAACTTATGTACTGGTAAACGCATAAAAATTATCCACCTAAGTAGCCTTTTTCAATGTTATGTAAACAATCCACGGAATCACATGTTTTGATTTGCGCCACTAAGAGGCAGCTCTTGTGTTGATTTTGTAACGGCAAACAATTAAAAACTGATATAATACTTAAATCTTTCTTTAGTACTGAGAGGAGCATGCTTTGAGAATACATTCCATAGCTTCCATAGCTTTGGACGGATATGTTATTGGCTTGACTAATCTGAAAAAAGAAGAAATAAAATTTAAAAAAAAAAATAAAACTCACAAAATAAATATTCGTCAGAGCCAGACTCACAAATAGGAGGTCTACCTGCCGAGTGTCAAAAACTCTCCAAGGGTGAAATTTGCAGGTCTCTTTTTAAGACTTGTATAGGAAAACTGCCGAGCAAATTAAAAGGTCTTATTTATTGACGACTAACGATAGGGTTCCTTTTTTTTTCTTGTTCATTTTATTACAGAATGGAGCCGGGATCCTTAGCAAAAGCTTTTCTAATAGTGTATGGTGCCATGATCGTTTCAGGTATAAACTCTAACTTTGTTGTATAACATATGACATAAAAAGCAAAAAAAAGTAAAAAGATCTTATTCTTATTTCATGTCTCTATCCCTTTTGTTCGACTATTTTACCATAGGAGCTAACTTTTAATTCCGTTATGGTTCTATTCACCGACCAAGTCCCTATTTACTCTTCTTAGTTTCTGATAGGTGACCCCATCTCTTTGAAACTAGGAAAACTAGGAACTTCTTTTCACATTCATGATTATGTCCTTCTATTGTTGTTTATTAAAATAAGGTAACATTTCATTTCTAGCTTTACATGCATGTCTTATCCTCTGTTAGTTACCATCTAGAGATGGTAACTGAGGTTTTCAACCAAAGTAGCATGTTCACCCGATAGAGGGCTTCGATATTTCCCATCACTTTTTTGTACGCCTTGCTTCTTTTCCAGCTCAAGAATGGAAAAATGTTGGAAACTGTGATGCAGGATTGAGTAAGCAGCTTTTTTAAATCCTGATAAAAAAATGTCGCTTCTTTGAGGTTTCCTTGCGATTTTTCTGTTCTAAATAATCATCTATTCCTCGACGAAATTGCAGAATGTGGTCCACAATGTCAGAGGCTTTGTCCAATCCAGCACAATTACTACCGTTCACTGCACAACTCTCCTCCACTTAAATGCGATCCGAATTTAGCCAAATCGGCACAATCCTGGGCAGACTCTAATGCCAACCATGAGGCCGTCCAAAGATCAACGCCGACAAAAGATTACGTCGAAAGCATTTCCTGGAAGAGGTGGGGCTGGGAAGGAATGGGGACTAGACTAGGAGCAATTCTCAACGCAGTGAGAAGCTGGTATAGTGAGTTAAAACGTGGTTACGATTACAACATAGGTTAGCATTTGTTTTCTAAAAGGCTAAGAAACACAGTCTTTGGTCAATTGATATGAAGACGGGTTCCTAACACCGGCCATGAAAATCTATGAACTAATTTATTCATTCTAAAGTATGGTAGCCTCCGTTCACCAAAAAACTATTGAAACTGATGTTTATTTTTTGCATGAGACAGAACTATAACCGGAGATTTGTAACATGCGCATTCATATACAGTAGCATATTGAATACTCTCGCTGTAATTTCTTTGTTCATGTGTCATTATAAACACGTAGGTATTTATTCGCAGGCTTAGGAAAGGGCATTGTAAGCCACTTTAAGTCCGTAGTTGACGTTCGAGAGACTCACCTTGGTTGTGGCATCAGAATCAAACCGGGTGATGGAACGTACGTCGTGGCCCATTATTCAATTGCTCCGGGGCTACAATTCAAGCTAAAAGACTTCAGTTCAACTAAAAACATTGGACCGCCAAAGCAACCAGGTAAGATGGCATTTGAACTATATACGCAGCCTTTTATCAAAAGTATTGAAATAAAATCACGTATACTTATACAAATTAACGCAGGAATGGAAGAGGATTCTCTACCTCTTAGTGTACAGAACATTCGGTATATCTTCCTTAAAGGACTTATTAAATTAGAACAGTTATTCAATCCACAAAGTGGATATAGAATCTCAGAGGAAAATGACAGGGATACCATCCAAGCATTTCAAAATTTCAAATTTCTACGTAATTCATAAAAGTTACGGTTACTTCGGTAGGATTACCATAAAGTTTATGATTAAAAAGCTGTGATAGGCGAAATTGTATAGAAAATTACTCAGTAATGTTACGTCGGGGGACTACTGTAAGGTATATGATTCCATAGCTGTGATAGGCGAAGATATAGAGGAAATGACTTGCACCTTGTGGAAAAAAAGAAAAGCAACAGCAAACAAACCAACCAAAAAACAAACAAAACAACAGGCATTAGAAGAAAATTATAATGACTCATACCAACCGAAAAATATAAAAAATAGTAGCCACTGGGAAAATTATAATAATGCTACAAATCACACAATAGACGATGAAGCCCACGATGATAATAATGATTTTCAACAACATCAAAACAAAACATATCAGCAATTTGACTCATGTAATTTCAGATCCTCAGTGTCACCAAAAGTCTTCTGAGAGAGAACAGCGTGGGAGTTTTAAAAGTCCATTTATAACTCCTGACAAATGCTTAAACGCTGGATGTTGCTATGATGATATGTTCATGGACGAACCTGGCTTACAGTGGCACAGTCCAAACGCGTCTTTATGGTGTTTTAGTAAAAAGGAGGCGGCTGGGTCTGGTAAGTAGTGAATATTATGTCTCAGTTTCTAGAGCAGAAAAAAATTGCGGTCGGCGATCTTTTGTTTCTAAAGATGATGGTCATTTCATGCAAGCTGTCTATGCGGTTGGCTCTTGTTTACCAACGATCATCATTAAGTAAAACCGATGGAGAGGCCATATTCTCTGACATATATTTTCAGAGGCGTATTTAATTGACAGAGGTTACAAAGGACGGTGTCCTTGTGCGTTGATTTTCCATCATTATTTTATCTTACGGAACCCGGCTGCAATTTACGTTCCGGTGACTGTGAATTGTGCAGACCGGATCTGACGGCACCATTCGTCAATCCAGGAGATTGCCCCCTTGAATGTTGCTACGACGACATGTTTATGAGTGAGCCGTCAGTAAAGTTTTACAATCGCGAGGGACGTACTTGGTGTTTTGAGAGACAGTAAGAAGAAAAATTTTAGCAATAAAAACACAACAAAAATGATTTTGTAAGTCGAAAACAGATGAGTCATAATGATGAAATATGTACAAGAATAGTTTCTCTTTCCATTCACTCTTTCTTTCATTTTCAGAAAAAAAAGTGTTAAAGGTGTAGCAAAGGAAATCGTGAGGCGATATCAAAATCCCCTCGACAAGAAAAAGCAATAATCTGAAGCTGGTAAAACACCAATTTGACCAACCCCTCTCGCCCTCCCGTAGTCAGAATGATTATTAAAACCCTAATTATTGATCACGAAGAAGAAACAAAAATGGACTTAACGGCCAAGGAAGTATTTCTTTTTCTCTCACTGTGTTGATCAGCAGTTCAACTTTATAGTGTGTGATGATTCGTAAATTAGATAGCCAATTTAGAACGTTATTTTATCAATAAAAGTGAAAAATAATATCAGTAGAGTGCCCATCTACAGAATTATAGCAAGAAAGGAAGCCAACGGGTCGGGTGTTTCTGGCTCATATGTTGTGTCGTTTAGAGCATTAATTACCGAACAAGAGAAAAATAGAACATTAAAAAACCCTGAATCATTTTGAATGTTAAAACCATGTGCTGTCAACGTTTTTTAACCGAGTCCAGATCAACTTCCGGATAATGGTAAAATAATAGTGGCTGCGAAATCTCGAATGATGATCCGGAATTGCAACGATTTATTTCGTTTCGCCCTGTGATTGAACTGGAAAACTTGCGCAAACTCTTCAAATAATCAGATGCAGAAGTAATCAATTGCTCCTTGACCGCTTGCTTTTTTATTAGGTTACGATTTAAATCTGACTTCTCGCTTAACTTAATTCTTGCTCTACAACTGCAGTTATGTGAACTGAAGCTTGATTTCTGATGTAATCATAACCATTACAATTTCCTCAAATGTGATTGGTGCAGTAACTGCTTTATTATTCACTAATCATTCTCTAGAGTTGTCATTGAACCGTGTAATCAGACAGTTGGCTATAATTGTACACCTGTAATCGGAAAGTTGAAGCCGCCAATTATACTTAGTCAAATCCCCCAATCACAGAATTGGTCACAGTAACCACAGCAACAACCACTTATCCTGAAAAAAGTCGTGGAGTTTCCAAAGTTGAGGAATTTTTAACTTATAAATTGTCTATACTGCGCGTATTTGTCCTTAATGTATTTGTTGTTTTTGAAAATTGTAACAGTTTTGATTAATTGGCAATAGGACTTTGTGTCGTCTAATTCTGTCTGTAATCATACTTGTGGTTGACAAATCGGACTCCCGCTTCGCGGTCGTCCGATTTTGTTGATCACTCGTAAGATTACAGACCGAATTGGACTCCACTCGGTCCTATTACCATTATTAATAACCTTTCCGACGACAATCCACCGGTTAGGATTCGACCAGATAAACAAAGTGGGACTGAAATGTACAAATAATGGAAGTGTCTCCATAAGAAATAAAACGAATGGTTTAATTCAAAAGAAAAGGAAACAAAAGAAAAAAGGAAGACTGATAGAATGTTGCTCCTATGTCTAATTATTTAACGCAAGAGGGCCTTCTTTGACAAAAATGAAGTCTGGTGCTCGTATTTTTCAATCATTCCAAATTGATAAACGTACGGGTTGCTGAGCAGGTACACGTACAGCGATCAATAAGGTGTGTCGAATTTATCGCCCTAAATCGTCTAGAATAACAATATTTTATCACTCTGAGAGGAAGACAAAACAACGAATTATCAATTAGCCTTGGGGAGCCGGTTAACAGGTAACAAAAAAAAGCCTTTATACTTATCTCGGATCATTTGTGATTATTGCTAACTTAGGTAGCGTGTTTTTTTTAATGACCTTTGGTGATTTTAGACGATGAACTTGTAATTTATCTTAGTTACTTTGAGACTGTAACTTTGTGCTGATAAACGCATAAAAAATTATCTACAGCCTTTTTCAATGTTAAGTAAACGATCCACGGCAAATATTGGTTTTGATTTGAGCCACTAAGAGGGAGCTCTTGTGTTGATTTAGTAACGGCGAACACTTAGAAAACTAATACAATACTAGAATCTTTCTTTAGTGCTGAGACGATCGTGCTTCAATATTACGTTCCATATAGCTCTAGACGAATATATTGTTGGCTTGACTAAATTGAAAGAAGGAAAAAAAAATTTAAACAGTTGAAACTCATAAAATAAACATTCCTAAAAGCCAGTATCACAAATAGGAGACCTGCCGAGAGTCAAAAGCTTTCCGAGAGTGAAATTTGCAGGTCTCTGTTTATGATTTGTCTGGGAAACAGCAAAGGAAATTAAAAGGTCTAATTCATTGATGACCTACGATAGGGTTATTATTTTTGTTTGCTTTATTATAGAATGGAGCTGGGAACCTTGGTAAAAGCTTTTCTGATAGTGTGTGGTGCTATGATGTGTGGTGCTATGATGGTTTCAGGTGCAAACTCTAACTTTGTTGTATAACATATGACACAAAAACAAAAAAAGTAAATAGATCTTATTCTTATTTCATGTCTCTATCCCTTTTGTTCGACTATTACACAAAAGGAGTTAACTCATAATTCCACTATTGTTCCATTCACGGAACAACCACTTCTTCCTCAATTCCCCGTTTCTGCCTCTAAGTTTCTGATAGGCGACCTTGTCTCTTTGAAATTTGAAACTTCTCTGCACATTTATTGTTATGTCCTTCTACTGTTGTTTATTTAAATAAGGTAACATTTCATTTCTATCTTTGCTTGCATGTGTTATCCTTTGTTATTTACCACCTAAAAGTTGTAACTGAGGTTTTCAACCAAAGTAGAATGTTCACCCGATAGAAGGCTTCGATATTTCCCATCACACTCTTGTACACCTTGCTTCTTTTCCAGCTCAAGAATGGAAAAATCTTGGAAACTGTGGTGCAGGATTGAGTAAGCAGCTTTTTAAATCCTGATTAAAAAATGTCGCTTCTTTAAGGTTTCCTTGCGATTTTTCTGTTCCAATTAGTCATCTATTTCTTGGTGAAATTACAGAATGTGGTCCACAATGTCAGAGGCTTTGTCTAATCCAGCACAATTACTACCGTTCACTGCACAACTCTCCCCCACTCAAATGCGATCCGAATTTAGCCAAATCGGCGCAATCCTGGGCAGACTCTAATGCCAACCATGATGCCGTCCAAAGATCAACGCCGACAAAAAATTATGTCGAAAGCATTTCCTGGAAGAGATGGGGCTGGGAAGGAATGGGGACTAGACTAGGAGCGATTCCCAGTGCAGTGAGAAGCTGGTATAGTGAGCTAAAACGTGGTTACGATTATAACACAGGTTAGCATTTGGATTTTAAGAAGGCTAAAAGAAAACACAATCTTTGGTTAATTAATATAAAGACGGGTTCATGGCGACGGTCTAAAAATCTATAAACTGATTTATTTATTCTGAAGTATGGTAGCCTCCGTTCACCGAGAGATCAGTCATAACCTTCACCTGAGAAGGGTTTGAAGGACCCGAGCCACGAAAATTTACCTAAATTCTCCCTAAGATTCTGTATTATTGGCCCTCCTTCCCTTTCCCCTGAAAACCACGTGATCCCCAAAAATTCCCCATCCCCTCCCCACAGCAACAAATAGTGAGTGGTCCCCAAAATTGTTTGCATAAGGCAGAACTATAACTGGAGATTTGTAATATGCGCATTCACAAGACAGTGGCATATTGAATATTATCACAATAATTTCTTAGTTTATGTGTCGTCATAAACACGTAGGTATTTATTCACAGGCCTAGGGAAGGGCATTGTAAGCCACTTTAAGTCCGTAGTTGACGCTCGAGAGACTCACCTTGGTTGTGGTATCAGAATCAAACCAGGCGATGGAACGTACGTCGTGGCTCATTATTCATTGCGTCCGCGGCTACAATTCAAGCTAAACGACTTCAGTTCAACTAAAAACATTGGACTGCCAAAACAGCCTGGTAAGATGGCATTTGAACTATGTATGCAGCCTGTTATCAATAGTGTCACAGTAAAATCCCGTATACATGTACAAATTCATGCACGAATGGAGCGGATTCTCTACCATTTATTGCACAGTATAGCCGCAAACGCTAATATATCTCGTATTCAAACTTTACTAGAACAAACTTCCGTTCATCGAAAATTTAACAAACTTGACATGACACATTGTTGAACACGGTAACTGAAAATAACAAAATTACAAACACGCAAATGGGCATAAAATAACTTACAATGTATGAGTGAAAGTACTGGAAAACGACAAAGCGAAATAAACAAGGACACTTACAGGACGAATGTGACCAAACTAAAAGACGAAAAAATGAAACCCAAGGCACGATATGTTCCGATATGTTTCGCAAACTAGACAACTAACCAAATAAATTACGCGCGAACAGAATATAAACGATATGCAAATAAATAAAAAAAAGTACAAAACTGGTAACTGAAAAAGGACACTTATGAAGACGAGAAACTAAACACCTAACAAGATACTATGAAACAACAACAACAACAACAAATAATAATTATAATACAAATTCTTGCGCCTACATACAGAACATTCGGTATATCTTCCTCAAAGAAATTACTTTTAAATGAGAACTGCCATTCTATCTATTTCATTCCATAAAGTGGATTTAGAATCTCCGACGAAAATGACAGGGATACCATCCCAAGAATTCGAATTTCTACTTGATTCATAATGTTGCGGTTACTTTGGTGTGAATACTGTAAATTTTATGATTACATAGCTGTGATGAGCAAAGATGCTGAGAAAATGAATTGCACCCTGTGGGAAAAAGCAAAAGCAATGGTAAATAAACCAACCGAAAAACAAACGAAACAACTGGCTTTGGAAGAAAATTCTAATGAATAATACCGACCGAAAAAGAAACAAAACATCAGGCATTGGAAAAACTTCTAATAATGCTACAAATCACACAATAAATGATGAAGATCATGATGAATATGATGATTTTCCACAACATCAAAACATATCAGCAATTTGACTCATGTCATTCCAGATCCTCAGTGTCACCAAAAGTCTTTTGAGAGAGAACAATGTGGGGATTTTAAAAGTCCATTTATAACCCCTGAAAAATGCTTAAACGCTGGATGTTGCTATGATGATATGTTTATGGATGAACCTGGCTTACAGTGGTACAGTCCAAACGCGTCCTTATGGTGTTTCAATAAAAAGAAGGGGGCTGATACTGGTAAGTGAAACTTTTGCCAAAGATTCTACAGTAGTAAAAACGATGTGCCCTCCCTATCTTTCCGCATTAAATTCTGCATTTCCCTTTTATTATCAGTAAAATTGGGAATTGTTTCTGCTTTGTTTTGATCTTTTTTTTTTCTGGGTGGGAGATTTTAAAGTTGAACGAACATTTGTTAAATACAGCCTAGAAAGCTGAATTACTTAGCTTAACGGACTCATTGAAGGCACATAAAATAATTGATAACTTATTATCATTTCTTTTGCTTGATTATTTAATAATTTTCTTAAGGCTTGATAACACATGTATCTACCTCTGGGACAATGTCATTCCAGTCTCCTCCGCCGTCCCGAAAAGAGGATGATTACAAAGTACTTCAAACGCAGTCTTCTGAGGGTAGGTTGTATCTAATGAATCCTATACACCCTAACATCAGCATCTATAACCTCTATACTTCATACATTCCCTGTCAGTGGTAACGAAAGGTAAATTCCTTGAAAAATTAAAGGCTTTTTAAGCTTTGGTCTCCCTACAGACTTTTACTATGGGGAATCGAAGCGATTTTCAATAGTAAAATATCTTTTTTTTCCCTGTCAATTCATTTTAACATTTTTTGTTATTATTATTATTATTCTTTTAACGAGCGCAGCAATCAAGAGTTATTTTTCTACAACTTTCAATGGCCGGCGTCTACAACGAGGGCGAAGAGCCATTTCCCTTGCCGACAACAGTATCCCCACACCATAAGCTAAAATTTCCCCGAAGTAATGTCCCACGTTAAAAATCGGTCACACCGGCAAATTTAAGTTTCCCGTTGGTCAACTGTCTCGTTTCTGTAGGGCAAAAGTCTACAGTGTGACCACAGCAATTATCAGGAGAAATGAGGTGCTAGTCACTTTCAGGAATTTAAGAGTTAAGTAATGATCGCCCATCTGCGATAAAAAGTTGTCACTTATTTATGCATGAGAAAGAAAATTGATTAAGAAATAACTTACAAACAAGCCTTTGTCACAAAGTGAATATTAGAGTGACAGTTGTTTTTTTTTTAAAGCACCAGAATCGTAGTCGTCTCTTCTTCATCACTGTCATAAATCATAATACCAACGACATTTTCCAGTACTGCAGCATGAAGCGCATAAAAGTATTGTTACTTCAATGCAGACCACCTTCCAGGCATTTCTTCAGGCCTCTCTATCAGCTCACATATCATACTTCCACAGAGCATAACACAATGACCCGGCCTCAAAATCCCAAATCCGGACTCCTCGACCCGGAGTCCGACACTATAATCGTTTGGCCATTTTCTTCGTAATTATTACGTGGGAAGTGATCATTGCATGTGAAGTGGTCATTCCGTGGGAAGTGGTCATTGCGTGTGAAGTGGTCATTGCTTGTGAAGTGGTCATTGCGTGTGAAGTGGTCATTGCGTGTTAAGTGGTCATTGCGTGTGAAGTGGTCATTGCGTGTGAAATGGTCATTGCGTGTGAAGTGGTCATTGTGTGGGACGATGGTCATTCCTCGTGGTGATATATTATAGAGAAAAAGGCAAGTCCCTGACCATCAACACTTTCACAACCACCATACCATCGTCGTCATCATCAGTAACACCACCATCATCGTCATCGCTACCACAAGCATCATCATCATCATTATTGTCGTCTTCGCCCATTTTTCAGGGACTGATTTAAAAGGATGGCATGTCTTTGCTGTAGTAGTAGTTGGAAAAAAAGGAATAATTTATCGTTATGCATGTATGTTATTAAAAAGGTATTCGCCTTTCACACTATCATCTTCTTCATCACCGCCATTGAAGTCTTCACCATCCTCTTCACTAAAATCATTATCGTTGTCTCTTTTGTAACATGTCATCGGAACATCGTCCCAACCACGTGCTTCATTTTTCATCATCAAAGCAGAATCTACCAGCGTTATCTACTAGCTTTTTCTTCTTGGTCTTTCTTTCTTTCTTTCTTTCTTTCTTTCTTTCTTTCTTTCTTTCTTTCTTTTTTTTGTTTTCTTTTTTGTTTTTTTTTTTTGTTAATGTTGTACCAATTTCCTCAGGATCAGTACAAGTTCGTCCACCGTGTCCAGAAGCAAAAGATGTCCTCAATAATATAATTGGTCTCGTAAACGCTGTAACTAAACTTGCTGCCTCGAAAGGCTGCGGGAAAGCTGTCGGTAAAATACATTTTTGTTTTTGCATGAGTCAGTTGCCCGTAACCACGCATGAAACTTTGGTAACACTGCATGAACCAGTAGTTTTCGTATTTTTTTGGTTTTTTTTTTTGTTTTGTTATTGTTGTTGTTGTTGTTGTTGTTGTCTCCTGTTAATCAGAACCTCTTTTGTTAATGTCGTTTCGTCTCAATTTTTGTTTTGGTTTGTTCCCTTTCGTTTTGATATTGTCTTCCCAAATGCCTATAGTGAGAATGCAAGCTTTCTTTTTCTCCACGGAACGAAACTTTTTGAAGGAAAGCATGCAATGTTTACGGTACTTGGAAATTCTGTGTTTCTGGTGGAAGCTATTTTGTTGTTGCTAGGACTTTCTTTGTCGTAATCGCTTCTGCCGCTGCTGGTGTTTTTACCGTTGCTCATCAATTTGCGTTACATGGTTTGTTTACTTGTTTCTTTGTTTGTTTAATGTTTTCTGTCGCGTCGTTGTTTCTTTGTAAGTAAGGCTGAACATTGATTAGTAGCCATTTCAAAATAGGGCTTCTAGTAGGCCCAATGCGATTGCATGCTTTTTCAAATATCTAAGAAAAGCGACATATGTATTACAAACGAATCTTTTTATATCTATGTGTAGAAGGCGCAGAGTCCAGCCTTTTTTTTTAAGTAGTGTTACCGTTTCTATTTTATCTCTATTTTCCTGATGCGAAAGCTGGTCCTGGACCTGTATCACAACTACCCTCAAAACCAACAACTGAGCCAACAGCAGCAACATCTCCATCACCATCTTTAACATCCTCATCAAGTTCCACAGCAGGACCGACCAGTGGCCCTACTACCCTATCTGCCAAAGGAGCAAAACAGGGTTGAAACTACTAAAATTATGTTTGTTTCCCTATAATCTTACAAAAAGCAGGCGGAAGAGCAAGCTCATTGACAGAAAGACATGACATGTTATGGGCCAGTTTCACGATCGAGCTTGTAATTTTGACGTGGTTGGGCCTATGCTATTAGTCATGTCATACACCACGGCCAAAACGTCATGAAAATAGAGATTCCGTTTCTGTGTCATTGATTAAATAGGCCCATATACAATGTTAATCCGTATGCATTCTTGATCATGTTTTCCTTGTTACATGATGAAATATGGTTTAAAAGCGTTAAATACCATATACAGGGAATATATTAGAAAACAAATAATTTCTATCTGCATGTGTTTCAAAGGCGAAGAACCCTGCTTTGGTAATACCTGCTACATGATTTCTGAAACGGGGAAGTCTTGGGACGAGAACCAAAAGAACTGCAAAGCATCTGGAGGCGACCTAGTTTCCTTGGAAACAGAGGCTGAGTGGCAGTTTGTCAATAGCAAGATCCAAAATATTACACTTCAGGGAGCCAATGAATGGCACATAGGTTTGAAAAAACAGGGAGATTGGAAATGGGTCAATGGAAATCCGATGACCATTGAAAAGTGGCAGCGTTCCCAGCCATCTGGTGATGGAAATGTTGCTGTTATGTCAAAAGATTACCCACCTGGAAGTCAAGGGCTATTTAACGATCTTAATGCTCAAATGCCCAGACCTTTCATATGCGAAATACCAAAAGGTAAGCTGACTGCAACTAGCTCTTTCGGGCTATTTCAGAGGTATTTGTCTTCGTACTTACATTTATTTTATGATTATACACTTTCTCTGTCCTCCACTTTGTTGTTTATTTCTTTTGTTTGATTACCTTACCTTTCGGTTGCCTCGTTCCTCGCAACAACTGGTATCCAAGGGTCGTTATCCAAGTGCCCTTGAAAAATCATATTGTTTTTTTTATTCAGGGGCTAGTCCTCAGCCTGGACCTCAACCAACCTCAAAACCTGCTGTGGGGCCAGCAGAAGCACCAGCTCCATCATCGTCTCCAACATCTTCAGCAAGTTCCACAACAAAACCGACCAGTGGCACTACTTCTCAGCCAGCTGGCGGAGCAACATCAGGTTGAGACTTTTAAAACCATGTTTACTATTTTCTAATCTAACAAACAGCCAACCAGACGTGCAGAAAAGCAAGATCATTTGCAGAAAGACCGACATAATGTTTAACTCACTGCCAGATTAAGCGACTACGTGACTAACTAACTTGTCGACTGAATGACTACATAAATGACTAGCGAACCGAAAAACAGTCGAAAAGTTTCAAAGACTGTCCTTGCAAAGACTAACTGACTGAGTGACCGACCTACTGACTGCCCATCTAATAGTCCAACCGCCCAGGGGAAAAATTTAGTAACAGTCTGACTGGCTCAGTGAATAACTCATCATGTCAACCTTCTTCAATAATCGTGCTCCTCATTGAGCTTCTTACCGATTAGAAGACCACGGGGTAGACATGATGAGCGAAAGGACATGCCTGAAGGAGAATCCAGACCTACCTATTACAATAAAGCTTTACGTTTAATAATTGCTTTGTTCCTTTGTTTCTATTTTTTTTTTCGCTTTTTCTATCAGAAATGACTGGATTTGAAAAAGACTGTTTAAAAGCTCACAATGAATATCGAGCAAAACATGGTGTTCCTCCACTGAAATGGAGCGCTGAGTTGGCTGCAGATGCACAGGAGTGGGCCAAAGAACTCGCTGTTAAAAGTAGGGATCACTCAATTTTACTTTTAGCTGCGCAAGAGAGATGATCTTTATCACTAAAGCTATTGTTTTCTCCATCATAACATTATTATCATCATAATTATCTTCATAATTGTCACTATAATTATTGTCAATATTATAATTATCGTTATTTGAATTGTTGTGGCGAATGTGTTATTTTCTTGAGTTCTTACAAATACGTCTTGTGTTTTCTCCTCCGTTAGTTTGCAGTTATTTTATGCTTTATTATATATATATTTGTATATATGCATCATTCTTTTCGTTTTTCAACGTATCATTTCTGCACCATTATTTTCACACTTTATTTTAATTACGCCGCTTTTTTTATTTATCAAGTTTCACGCCCCTTTGGGCAGTGTATATAATTTTGCTTTCGATGTTAACCTTTTTTCCCATGAGTGTTTCGTATATTTCTTTGACATTTGGTAAATTTTGGTCCCTTGGTATCTTCGTATTTATTTTTTCCGTCCTATAAATTAGTCTATTTTTGTAAAGTAGTTTTTCTGTTTCTTAGGAATTGTGTTTCTCTTCACGAGCGTATTAAAAGAGTTAATGAAAAGGATCCTGAGTAAACATGTTTTGAGGCTGGCTCTTGCCTCTTCAATCATTATTCTTCCATTTATTATTACTATTATCATCATCTTTTTTACCATTGTTATTATTGTGATCTTTATCATTTTTATCAGTATGAAAACCTTATATGATTGTAAATATACAATTTAAACTGCATATTGGTAAATGAATAAGAGTGATCTTCGCAGTAACCAGCACTGCAGTGAAACTTAGGCCTGAAAAAAGATTTCCTTCTGTACAGGGCTTAACCCATGTCCCTTGCGATACCGGTGCAGTGCTCTACCAACTAAGCTAACAGCCAACTGAGAGCTGGCATGAATTTCTTAAAGCCTCTAATTTCACTACGGTTAAGAAGTGTTCACTTAGAAAAATGAGCTCTCTATATTTTACTTATTGTTGCATTGTTATTGATCGGCCTTTGAAACTATCTGCAGATCACATGGAACATGACATGGACAGTATTAACAACAAAGGTCAAGGCGAAAATCTGGCTTATTTTCAGCCGGGTGACCCATCGGCTATGCCGACTCAGTGCCAAGGACCAAAGACAAAAGACTGTGTACAGTGCCGTGAAATGGTCGCTGACTGGTACGCAGAAGAATCGAATTTTGATTACAACACGGGAGAGAGCAAAGGAGGCGTGATTTTGCACTTTACCCAAGTTGTCTGGAAGGAGACCACAGAGTTGGGGATGGCAACAGCGACCAGTGCTGATAGGTGGTTTTCTGTTGCACGTTATAAACCACGTGGAAATATGGGGTATCCGTCAGATTACATCAAGAATGTACCAAGGCCTCAGGTTAACGTTTAAGAGCAGTTTTGATTGATAATCCAAGGAGGCAATAATCCAGGTGCTGCCTGCAACTGACTGATATATAAGGAGAGCTTGTCTTGAACATATTTGTTATAAAATATGAGGCAATAAACTTCGTCCTTGTTAAAGTATAGAAAGCTTTCTTTTTGTAGACAGCATGTTTACCTTTTTTTGGTTACTTCTCTTTTATTTTGTTGTCGCGTTCATGCAGACGATATTAAACTAAAAACAGCAGCAAAGGCACCTTACAAGGCAGGAAATACTCAAAACTGCAGTCTCACCCGTTTTCAAAGAAACGCTCGTTTTTGTCCAAATTAACACAAAAAAGTCAGTGTTTTCTCAAACTAAAAGCATAATGCGTTGAAAGAAATAATTGTACCCTGACTTTTTTGTCAGACCTGCGGTCAAAGCCATGAAAACAAAGGGAGTAGAATATGAAAAGGAAGAGACACTTATGAAATGTTGTACGAGTCGAAAATAAACAATGAGAAACGTTGGATACTGAGGGCTGAGCAATGTTGAACAAGCAGAAGTTTGAACGCGAATAGCGACATAAAAAAAATTGAAGCTTTTAAAAATGAACCTAACGAAAGCTTAGCTATTCAGAAAACATATAAAAGAATAGTAGTTATTGTGGCGAACGAGTGCAAATATAATATTTATTTATACAATATCAATCTATTTATTTATAAATATTTATAATATTCATATGCGCAAAAATGTAAACGAGAGTGCGCCACAAGTGAGCGGAAAGTGCGTAGCTGAAAACCCGTCAAAAATAATTACTCTTTTTCCCCGTATTGTTGAGAGTGACACCTTACTAGGCCGGAGGCGTTTTACATCATGACTTCCTCCTCCTATTCTCCTCCCCTTTCCAACCCTGCTATGAATTCAACCGCAGAGTGATTTTAATCAACTGTACCTAGCTTTTGATGTATATCCACAGTTCAGAAATTGGTAAAATAGAAGCATACTTACTCCATGAAACAGTCTAATGGTAAAAACTACATTTTAATTTTAAATTCCATTTAGCTTTTTTTCCATCGGTTCAATTAAGAGAATTTATCTAATTCGCAATGGAATTTTTAGTTTTTTTGACAGAAGCTTTACCAGGCTTACTTTTACATCGCAATTTCAAAGGTAGATTTTAATAACGAAAAAAAAATGTTCATTATCATTCAAGCAATTTTGTCAAAATCGGTTAACTCGCCTACGCCGCCTAAATCATATTTGAAGATAGATATTGTAATTTATTTCTTTTTTCTACTTAAGAGAAACCATTAATTGTTAGCCGAGCGTATTCACTCGCTCTTAGATTCCTAATGCCTGGTGCATGCGGTTTTTTACTTATACGCGACAAATAGAAGATAAAACCGTGATAATTACTATTCTGTCTGGCGTTGCAGTTCACAATCACACTTTTAAAAGCCGTTGAAGTGCTCATATGGAAGTGCCTCAAGTGGACTGTTCTCATAAATATTCTACTTGATGTATTCCATTTGTCAGCTGAAAGCTTTTATTTTGATAAGATTAAGCAATGGAAATATGTGTCGGCGCGATTGTTTTGTTTCCTCTCGCTACACGGACATTTCTCTACATTCGTTAAGCCTATTTGCATTTGTAAGGATAATAACTTTGGTACTCATCTGACCATTTGGAAAACCACTGGACACAAACTATGTTAAATTCATAATGCCCTCTTGAGTATTGTTTACAAGAATTCAGAAGCAAAGTACGTTGGCTATTGGACAGATTGGTCACATCTCACGAGAATATTTTCAACCGTACTGCTAAACTTAGATCATTATTAATTCAGAACGGCGCAGAGCAGTTGTTGCAGTCATACGGCCGGAAAAACGCGATTTGAATCGCGTAAGAGAAAAAGGTTCGCTCTTTCTTTTTAAATGAAGCTTCAACGGGGTACATTCTAAAGTATAACGGTAAAAAATGTCTCATACATCCTCTTGGAGTTACACTGATAATGAATTCGGTAAGTAATTCAAAATAATTAAACCTGGCTTGTAACCGTCGATTTTTCTTTGAATTTTTATGTATTGTTAAGAATTTTATCCATGTATCATAAGCTAGCGATTAAACACGACCTACTTTCGTGAATTCACTGTTAATCCAAGGGGAACTGACCGATATTTCCTTCCGAATCAAAATCGTATCACTTCTGTTGTGAGCATGAATTTCTTGGGTATCTCCCTTAGTCATCGCTAAATCTATTTTCGTCCATTTAAAGCTGAAATTTACATCTGAAGTTCCTTTCTTGAAGAATCAATTTTGGAAAGAAGAAAGTCTTTACATTCTTTTACGTCCAAACTAATTCCAAAAACAAACAAAGGAGCAAATAGGATGTTAAGATGTAACTTTGAAACGCTAGAACATCTCGAAATCGATTTTCGTTCATCACATCCTTTGCTAAATCGAAGAAGGTTTAAGTTGGGTTTTGTTATGGTTTTACACCGAAGTTAAATATGCGGTTGAAAGTCCAGTCGAAGCTCTCAGTAAGGGGTGTCGCTGTATTTTATCAATATATCACTATTCAAAGCTGGTTTGAACACACTTCAACTAAGAAACACCGCTAGTTTATATCACATACTAAAAAAAATAGAGCTATAGCAGTTATGTTCAATAACAGAATGCTATTTCGAATTGAATGCGTGTCGACAAAAAAATACATGCTCTCGAAAATTTAGAGAGTTGACTAGGAAACTATTAATGGCGACATCAGATGTTTTCTTCCACATCGGGAGAGCCCTCATTATGCTTTCTAAATCATGTTTTCCTGCGACTCTTATATTTTTACTCAGCAGGAAAATGTTTTTCAAAACTCCTTTAAAATCTTTCTCTTTTTCAATTTGCATATGTATGAACATAAATTCGTAAAGGAAGACACCTAACTTCGGTCTGTGGCCTAAACAATCAAATATTAATCCATAAGGAATAATGCGCTATTTCAGGTCCTCACACTTGGCAGGATCGCTACAAAGTCGCCGAAGGTAATTTGCAGTCTCCGATTAACATCGACACCGAAGCAGCGAAAGGAGACACCATCGTGGAAGCGATTAAGTTCAATTACTTGCCCATGAAGAACAGCACCATTACTAATGATGGACGACATTTGCAAATCACATTATCAAGAAATGATTCAGGTAAATTTTAAATCCATCTTATCGTAGCCTTGAGCTGATATGCAAATATAAAACTTACTCCAAATTAGAAGAACACCAGCCCACAGGATTAATATTGAAATATTGTTATGGCATATTGAAAACATTGAATTACATTCGCCGTTTGCGACTAATTTGCGTAATTGCATGTTCTCAGAGGAGTGCACAAAACATATATATATATATATGTATATACGAGAACTGAACTAAATCTAAGTGTTTATTTATAGCCGTTATTATTTTCATTTTGACACTATAATTTTTGTATTTCTTTTACGCGACCTGCAAGAAGTTATGTTTCCCGAGGTCAGTCCAAGTCTATTCTATCCTGTAGTAATGAATAAACTTATTGTGGCAATCACACAGCTTCAACATCAGTAATGTCAAATTGAACCGTTCACTTGAAAACTTGCCCCCTCATTTTCCGAGAGGAATGAAAGTGCTTTGAGTAGAACACTGTAATTCTTCGAGAAGTAATACACATTAGATTTAATGAAGAACCAGAACAAATCCGATATATATTCCGTATGCATGATGTTGATTATAAATAAAATTATTTATGCATTATCATTTAATTTAATTTCTCTTACCTTCGATGGTACATTTTATATATATATATATATATAGGATTGAATAAGTTTCTTTGAATCATAAACGACCAGGATTGTATTGCTATTACTACGCGTCAGTGGTTAGACTTATTTCTTAGTTAAGAAGCTCAGAAAATTTACTGAAATATAGTTTTAAATCGGTGAATCAAAAAATCAAGTGCGTTTAAAATATAAATAGCTCTCTCCCTCTTAATTGAGTTGATTAATTGTGATCTGACGGGCGCATGCGTAGGATCTAGTTTCCTTTGAACAGCTTTGACATTGGAAACATAACAGCAAGGAACCACGGATGTAACCTTGGTTTCCACTGAGAAAGTTCGAGAACTCCTCTCATGAAATATTGTGAAAAAATAAAGCAATTCTGGTTCGTTTAATTCCTCCTGAAAATTGCTTTTGCTCTAATCAACGCCTGCCTCTGTTTCAAAACCTAAAAATTACTATCTTTCGGAAATGAGAAAATTGAAGTGTGAAATAGTGTTCTTTATGCCGACTTCTTTACAGGTTCAAATTGAAACAGTTACGAGGGTGTTATTGAAAAGAGATAAATTTACTTCAATCTGGCAATCTAAGAAAAATATGAAGCTATTGAAGACGTCTCCCTGTGTGATTCGCACCAATAGCATTCAATATCAAATCGGAAATGAGTTTCCTCAGTATTACCCCACCATGGCACATGATGGCCGCCCTTTACATATTATCAACATTATATTTGCCACTGTGTTAGAACGCCCTGATATCAATAATAGTCAAAACAATTACGCAGCTTAAAGCAAAGGTAAATGGTACAGTTCGAGGGGCAGTGTTAACATTGCCTGGATTCCAACCTTGAATGTTGTATGTTTGGAAAGTTAACATCTTAACTTTTTTTCCTCTTGTATCAAGAACTTTTCTTTCTTTACAAAGCCAACCGAGCCGTTAGATCTTGATTAGGACGAAGAAATTTATTGGATGGAAAGCCACAACTTGAATATTGAAAAACCGCTGCGTTATTCCATATATTAGGATACTTCGTCTGCTTCATTTTTCTCTCGTAAAAGTTTCTCGAGAGTCAGTGAGCCTGCTTTAAAAAGTTTTATCGAGATGATAAATTTTTTTTTCCGGTGGAAAAGACCCAGCCACAAACTATGCACGTTATACCAAAGCTTCTCCCACCACAGTCAGACTTTGAAGGTGTACCATACGAGAGTTGTGACTAATTTTGCAGTAGGTATGCTACTGTAACGTTTTGAGGAAGTTGAAGCATTTTTCCCTCTTTCTTTAGTTGTAACAGGAGGCCCATTGACAGACACATACCAATTGGCTATCATACGCTTCCGCTGGGGTCATGACAACAACTCCGGATCGGAACACGCAATCAATGATCAAAATTATCCATTGGAGGTAATACACTTCACTATCAAAGAGGATGCATCTCTACTTAGTGTTGATTATTCTGAGAAGGGTTTTTTAAATTTACCTCGCTTTCCATTTCGTCTGCTGTTTTTTTCCTCTCTGGACTTACACTGGATTTTAAGAGGTATCTATATCTACCGGACTCCGCTGTCTCCTCCTTTGATTATTCGCCTTCGACCCTTTTTTTTTGGGTGGTAGGATAAGTCATAATTTTGCAGACTCATAAGAATTACACCAGTCGCCATATTTTCTTTCCTCTAAACTGTGGCTCAGTGAAAGAGCATCGGTGCGAGGAAATCCGAAGGTTTTTCTTTGTCTACCACGTGGCAAGACTAACAACATCTCTTTCGTGGTACTCTATTGTGAACAGGTTCAGCTCATCCATTGGAACAAAAAGCTGTATAAAAATATTGGTGAAGCTATGGGAGGAGAAAATGGCTTATGTATCATAGGACTTCTGTACCAGGTAAGGTTAAGATTTGTTGAGACGAGTGTTAGATTTAAGGTGCGATCCAAGTCTGCTTGAAACAGAAGACCTTGCGCTAACTTGCAATCAGCTTCTGGTCGAGGGTGCTTATTGTTCCTCTGATTCCCGTTTCGTACGTATGCTAATTGATGCTAATTGTGTTCTATCACCTTACCGTTCTTTTGTATAAGTCCACCTTTCAGTTTATCTGTCTATCCCAGTGGCGGATTTAGGGAAGGGACCCAAGGGACACCCCCCTCCTCCCCCCTTAGCTCAAGGTCTGGATCCGCGACTGTATCCGTAAGTTAGCTGGTTAGCTGTCTGTCTGTTCGCTTGTCTGTTCACTTGCTTGTCCGCATGCGCGTCTGTATGTATATCTGACCGTTTGTCTGCCTACAAGTGTCCCCAACTTTTGCGTTATTTCTTCAACTCGCACGCTTGTTTGTTTGTTTGCAAACTAACCAGCGACCTCCCACATGAGTCTCCGGACCCCCTGGCGTTATCAAAAACCTTAATAAGTCAATATCACAAACACGACTTCATCCTTTGCTATAAGCACAAATATAGGATACACGGAATGACGTGAGTTAACCCTATGTGGTATTATTCCATGGCAGGTGTCAGATGATGAAAATGAGGGCCTAATGCCAGTTATAAAATTGCTGTCTAGAGAGGAAAATAAGGTAAGATGATTTGTATTCGATTTTTAATGGAATGGCAGTGAGGACCATTCGATCTCCCATCCTGGCGTTCTTCGCCAAATAATCGTTTCATCGTCCAATGTTCAGCCTGTTAACAACCCACATATCGATACTGTTATATTTACAGGGCTGCTTTTCATTGGAGGTGAAATCTACCATCGATCCAACTTGCTTTATAAAAGGTTTGCTCAAGTTTCAAAATGAAATCTTTATGTAAACTGAGTCATACTGAGCAGCTTCATGAGAAATCAGAGTTTTAATCCTTCACTGATTTCATTTTTACAATAAACTATACATTAAAATGATTCATATATTACTTTTTAAAAGTTTGCTGCGGGTTTTAATTGAAGTCTATTAGGTATACCGGAAACAACCTAAAAAAGGACAGCTCGAAAGGTCGCTGGTTATTCATGGCAATAGATTATCTCTACGTCTGACTGAAGGTGGAAAAACACAGTTAATCTGTTCCACAATGTACTTTATGGGATGGCATGATGTTGTGATTGAATAGGATTCTTTTGATCGAGAGATTAGAGAGAATTTGAAAACAAATAAATACTTTATTGAATGTGACTTATTGAGCGAAAGACAAACAGAGAGGACTGAACCGACTTTATTTCTGACTTGTTTACTCACAGCAGACAATAAAAATGCAACAAAGGAATAAAGATAAAGTTTATTAAAACTTTGAAAAAAAAAATTGGCGCATGCGTATTTTGGGCGCCGTATTTTTTCTTTTGCATCAGCAATTTCTGAATACGAAAATGATCATTACAACCTGATTTCACACTGGTTATCTTCCTGATAGATATGACATCATACTGGACATATCAAGGCTCGCTCACGACTCCTCCAATGAGTGAGAATGTCACATGGATAATATCAGAAAATATCATGAAAATATCCGAGAAACAGGTCAGTTTATTGCTTTCTATGTGAGCGTTTACTTTGTTTATCATGACACTGAACGGACGTCGTGAAAAAATGGCAAGCGATAATGCTCAATAAAGCATCTTAAAGATGTCTTTTATAGTGATCCAATCTAATGCCATTTAATTGGCAGGAAGTTCTTTGGTCTGGTAATAATGCCTTGGCATGAGAATTCAAACACTCTGAGACAAAAATGGAGCCGCGGGGGTTGGGCCAGTTGTTCTACTCAAAGTAATCAAAACATTCCGGTGTAAAACATTTTGAACAAACAAACTAATGAGCAAAAGAAACAGATACCGACCGAATTTAAAAAAGAACTTGACAGTCCACAGCCAGATATAAAGGCAATGCAATGAGCTTGCTAAAATGTATCCGCTATCACAATAGGGTTTGCTACCGAAATAAAGTTATGACGAATTTTTTGATACCTTGTTAATTAACCGCCCAGCATAGAGACATTTAAACGAAAGGCAAAATTAATCTTTTTTGTCGCTCCTGACAGCTAAGTGCGTTTCGTAATGTTCGCAACAGTTGTGGGGAACTTATGGCTGGTCACTGCAGACCCCTTTGTCCATTGAATGGGCGACCCGTTAGGCTCTGTGTCATGAATAACAATAAAAATATCGAGGACCACCAAGAAAATGATGACATTCTCGCTAAGGACTGCGACGATGACAAAGAAAATGAGATTTTAGATGAGAATGCGAATCATAACTGTGACGATAATGGGCCAGATGGGACAGACAAGGGCTACTTTGAGGACATCTACAAGTTGGAAGCGATGGGCGACCATATCGACCTGGAGGCGCATTAGGTAAGACATTGGTGGTCCATGCAAAGCTGGGTTTATCTATCGAAACAAAACTTGCTGTAAACATAACCTTGTCAACTACATGATATTCAGAAGATCCAATGCAGATAGATTCCTATCATTTATATATGACAATAAATGTTTGTTTAGACAGTCTCAAGGTCATTATTAATAACTAAGAAAGTAACTGAACGTATCTGAAAGTAACCGTCCCAACCGACTCTGTGAACTAAAGAATACTATTAATAATGCAAATAAAGATGATACGAGCTTAGTGACTGGTTTCTGTAAAGGAAAGCTCCACCATATATTTGCCTTTTGGTATGGTTCAATTTTTTTAAGACAACAGCACTATTGTTCGATATTCTTCGTTGCCTTTCCATCGTATGGTCGAGCTCAGGCTAGAATTTTTCGATGAAACAGCTTTCGCCAGAGGGTAGTATCCTAAGGCGTTTATGAAACTGAATAGATTTGAAATAAAAATCTAGGCTGAGGAGGACGGAGAAGCGATTGATTGCCACTGAAAAGTGGTCGCGTTAGAGCATGTCAGGATGAAATAATCTCAGCATTTTCATTAGCTGAGCTCTTTTTCAAAGGAAACTTTCCTTTAAGCTTATCGAGTAATCATTTTCATTACTTGGTTATGATGTTCGTGGAAGTCAACAGACGGGTGAAGCAAAATATTGCTTTTCCTGATCCATATCCAGGACTGAATAAAGATTCTGATAAAGCTTCTACTGGAAACAGCAGTTTCCTCTCGTTTAGTATCGAGTATAAACACTATTGGATGAAAATGAAAGAGGGATAGTCTAATCAAAGAGGCATCGTCTAACAACGAAACTGGCATAATTGACGGTAGTCGCTCGATTCCAAATGTCTTAAAATAGCCGTCCCTCACAATCGCGTAAAAAGGGATCATTGTCTTAAATCACTTCGTAGATCGGTTCCGATCCGGGTCCTTCTACCGAAGAAAACAAATTTACCACAATAGCATGGCCTGCATTGCTGGCGGTCTGCGATTTTGGAGACGAAGAGACAAATTAATCTATTTTCTCTCCGCCTCCAAAACCGCAGACCACCAGCAGCGCAGGCTACTATTCCAGAAAGTCTTGGATCATTGTCAGTAACTGAACAACTGCGTGCCTAGCTTCCTCTAGCCCAACAACAATCAGCTGATACAAGTTAGAGTTAATGCTGTGTCATGTGAGGGGTAGGGCAATTGCTCAGGTAGGATCCAAAGATTTTACGAAAGTAACAGGAAACGTTTTTTTTCTCTAACACAAGCTTGTGCTTCAATCGAATCAATTCATTCTTTATACATTTTCATTCCTTCATTTAAATGCATATTATATACAGACTTATTTTTTTGTCAATATTTAGAAAACAATTCCTCCTCTGAACATTTTTTGCCCGGTTTCAAGCGTCTATTTCAATCGAAAAAAATTCATAATAAATAAAAAAAGACCACCAAAAAACTTCAAATTAAAGTATATACAGCTTTGTTGCAAAGGGTTTCGCTGCAACTCAATGAGTTGACGAGTTTAAGCATGGGCGTTGCGGTAACGGCGAACGGCATAAATGTACCCTCATACTACTTAGCTAAAATCTGTGCGTTAAATTCATAGAAAAATAAAATCTCGTGTTCATTGTTAACACAAGTAGCTTAACTTTCGTATAAAAGCGGCTGAAAGCTGACGGCGGGTACTGAATTCTTTGCTTTTTACCATGCGCCATAAACGTCATACCCTACCCTCTTTAATACCAGCCCAAACAAGATAACGTTTGTTGGTATAACGGCATTATCATGCTTATCAACCAATGGCGTTGTCTGGTAACAGAGTATCGCCATGCACATCGACACTGGAATCGTTTTATCACCGCTATTCATACAATTACGGCGAATCCATTTCATAAAAATTATTATGTAAAAGAAGGAATTTCTCCTTATTATGTTTGATGCCCTAAAAAACTGATTAACCTGGAACTAATGCCTTCTCAGGGCTCGAATCACTGAATCAATCAATGTTGTGAGAGCATTGGTCTTTATGACCAGAACTTCTACATCCGGGTTATCGGGTTGTTGAAATGAGGTAGCTTTGACAGTGCACAAAATGTCACGATATTGTTCCACCACTTCTCTGACCATGGCAACGATATGGCGGCCATTCCCATCGCATGTATCGTTTAGCATCGAGTAAGTATTCTCACATGACTCAACCACCTTTTCAAGAGAATCTAAAGATGTTTTAACGGCTGACACTACTTGAGGGCTTCCACGTTTGATACTCGATGAAATAACCTTGACATCGCATGCTAAGAATCTTGCATTATTTTGAAAGTTCAACAGCCAGTTTCTGTTTTCGCCGTTCGTTTGTGCATTCAATGCAGTTTTGTTCAAACACAACTCCAACCTATTCATTAAAAAGTTCACCTTCGAGAGGCCTTCCTCGCAAACATGGTAACTCTTCGCTCGAAAAGCTTTTATTTGAAATTCTTCCAATTTGTGCGAGGAATCTTTAGCCACATCGTCATCCAATTGAGAACTCTCCTCGAAAGCAACGCTGCGTCGTTTCGTTCGACCGTTTAAAAAGAAAGAATTACTGTGAGCAGACCAATCTTCACTCAGGGAACGTCGTTCTCGACAAAGTGAAGATGAAGTTAAAGATGCAAATAACGCACTATCACCATCTCGTCGCTCAAAGTAGCCTGATCTTGATTTTTCTATTGAGTCGGAAGAGAGCTTAAATTTCAAGTCTTTATTGAGAGATGTAAGATCCGGACTGGTGTTTGATTCAACGCTATAGTTCAGAGCATCATCGCAAAATGTCTCGATTAAGGGTTCGCCATTGTCAAAATCTTCGAGATCGAACGAGGGAATTGTGGCTGGGGGAGAAGACTTCGGTAATGGTGGTGGAGGACTATCAGGGAGAGGAGATGGGCTGAACGTACTGTTGCACTTTTCTTCATGATGCTCAGGGTTTACTTGGTGCTGGTCTGAGCTTTCGTTTCTTTGCTTTAAGAATGTGCTTTCTGGGTCATCTTCAGATAGATTTCTGCTAGGGTGTCTTGAATTTCTACAAGATTTGTGTAGAGGCGATGCTGGCTTCACAATCGGCCCATGAAAGTGTACTGCATTTACACAGTTTCCTTCTGATGCTCCATAAGAATTTCCCGCACAAAAGTTGTTGTTGTCTTTGCAACGTGTCAGTCCATGCAGCCTCTCCGTTGGAGACGTTGTCAAAGTTAAATTTTGCATCCGTGACGTTGAGTACGGTGCAGGCACGTATGGCGATGTGAAAGTAAATGACAAACTCTTCTTCGAAATAAGCTTTTCACGCCGGAGGTTGATCTCAGTCTTGCTTGGATCGTCTTTTTGACCGATTGATGTTGGAGGAGAAGATTTCTGTTGCGAATGCACCATGATTGTTTGGTTACAACTCGGAAGCACTTGGCGTAAAGAATGATCAATGTTTTTCGTAGACGTTACCTCTGGCATGTTAGAACTCTTAACTGGAGATAAATTGGCTATGGATCCCAAACGTCCATTTCCTGGATACCGAGCGCCAGTGGTTGATAACTTACACGAAGCTTTCCCGTCAGTTGGATTTTTGGGTAAACTGACTGTTTTTTCACCCGAAACTGACCAGGACCGGAAGATTCGAGGTTTAGGAGGAACCGGAGGCTTCTGCTTTGAGGGAAATCTTCTGCATTGCTCGATAATTTTCTGAGTACTTTGATCGGAGGCGGGGCTCGCCCCAAGTTCCGTTTTTATGCTTTTATCATTTCTCATGGAAATGTCAAGATTTTCCGAACCTTTCACGATGCCCTTGTCGAGAACATCGTCCTGCTTTTGACTATCTTTATCACATTTTAATCTGGTATTCAAATCAAAGAAGGTCGACGGGACACAGGCAGAGGGCGGATCAGGTGAAACATGTGACTCGAATATATGAGACGTGAAAGTTGAAGGAAAGTTCTTGGCGCGAGATTGATTTGATTTGGAAAGGTTTTCTGCCGGACTATAAATACTTTCCTTTCTGCTCAAAAGGGCGGGTGATTCTTTCTGAGTCATTGGAAGATCAGCTGCGACCTTTTTTACCTGAAGCTTCTTGTCCTCAGTGAAATTAGTATCGTAGTTTTCAATTGACACCAAACCGTTGGTCTTGGCGAGTTTGTGGTCATCAGTTAGAGAAAGAAATTTTACGTCATCATAATCATCCATCAAACGCTCCAACTCACTGTCACTAAAGTCCAAAGGTGGGGGAGACGCAATCTTGATTCCCGAAATATTCGGCAAAATATCGACCGAAGTGGGAGGGAGAGGGACAATTAGGCACATCAGCTCCTCATCTAGTCGACCTCCGTCTGGCGTTGTGGAAAGAGGAGGGGGTGAAACAATGGGAATATCAGTATCCTGGAGCTCAGGCGTTGGAGTGGGTGGGGATGGAATTATCCAGTCGGAAGGAGAGTAGCTCCTATCTACAAAAGTTCCCCTATCGTCCAAGTTCTTAGGTGAGAAACTTTCGTTCGAGAGAATTTCTGCATTTCCCACAATAGTATGTTTAACCAACGCATCACTTAAGTGGCTGGGAACTTCGCTTCCTTTTAACATTTCGGTGGACTTGAAATTCTCAAGAAATTGTTCTTCAGTGTATTGGTCGCAATCCAATGTATACCTCGTCTCAGCAACCAACAATGCATCATTGGAAAAATTGGCAGGAGAAATCTCGCAGATATTCGTTCGGCACGCATGCCTCGAAATGTTTGGAGAAGAAGACGAAGTTTCCTCAACTTTGTTATGAATTTCTCCCCGGCTACTCTTACCGTTCTCTTTGGAATTGACATAACCGCTGTCCTCACTAACTTCTTCGCTTTCGGAGTGTATTTCGGCATTTACTTCATAGGTTTCTTCGAGACTCTCAGAAGAGGCTGTTGACAATTCGTCGCAGTTATCGAGAAAGACAGTTTCATTATCCCTTGAACCGATGTTCGGAGAACTCTCATCTCTCGCACTTAGCACCTTGACGCTCAGCAGTGCTACTCCTCGTTCGGTTTCAGAATTTTCACCGTCTTCATACTGATCTTCTTCAGCCAAAGAGAAATCCACACTATTATTACTCGAGTGCATCAAGTGTCCACTCGGCCGAAAGTATCGTGGAAATAAGGACCACAGAGATTCACCGTCATCTGACGTTGTTGAAACTGTTTCTGCCTCGCTTTCCTCAGAAAAATCCAAACTGATATGATGACTGTCTATGCTATCCAATAGATCGTCTTCGTTACCAGCTGCGAATTCGTAGCTATTCAAACTTAAACCAGTCTTCAATTCTAGCTCGTCAAGTCTCTGAACGCTTTCTATAGATTGTACTTCCCTCTCGTAACCGTCGCCACGTTCATTTTCATCACTATCTAAGTCATTCCGTTGTAAAGATAATGCACTTCCTTGCTCAACAGACTCCTGAGAGGTTTTTTTGTCATGGAAATCTACCACATCAATTCCTGTATTGTCGAACTTACTTTCGTCGAAGTCCAAGGCCTTTGAAGGTGATTGCCTTCGGTCACGTAAAGGATCTGTAGCAAAAGAAGGGTCGGGCTCTGAAAAAGCAGACCTTACAATGTTACTGTCGTTTGCTAGCGAGGGAATTTTTGTAGAGGAGTAATCACAAAGAACGTTTTGGTTAATGTCTGTGTGACAAAGACTGCGCTCACTAGACTCAAGGTAAGGACCTAGCTCATTTTCATCAGCTTTGTCGTCCTCAGTGTCAGACGAAATCTCCTCATTTCCCTCTTCAACGTCTATAAACAATCTTTCATCGTGAGTAGAGTTATTCATCTGACTATGATGCAATTTGTCGGAACTATCACTGCGATCTATTGAAACCGTTTCAAAGGCTTTGCTACCTGCATCAGTTACTAGAGCACCAAAACTTTCCTCATCCGGCGAACATTTCAAAATAGAAGAAACGGGTTCCAAGAGTTTGGGATCTTTATCCAACAGAACTAGACCTGCACTGTCATCCTCGTGTATATCAATGAGATCTTCTTCACCACTATTTACACTCTCCGTTTTTAAAGCATCGTGCTGGGCTGATTCTTGTCCATGGTCAATGTCTATTTTACCGTTTTGTCGCTGACTTGTACTCTCCGATACCACAATGTCCTCCGGTTCGGATTCTTCTGAAATGGCAGTTTCATTAACTTTATATCTAGGCGGGGAGCTTGAAAAGTCAATGAAAGCGTCTTTGTACTCAGTAAAAGGCTTAGAATTTTCTAGTTGTGGTTTTTTGATGGCACTTGAGATTTGAAAGCGGGAAGGATAAGACCACACGTCAGGGACAACTCGATGTCTTGAGTAGTAGTCTGGCGCTGTAGATTAAATCGAATTAAAAAAAAGAAATTCATTAGCAACACTGAAATAAAATGAACCTTTCTTGACATCAGCTCAAGAATTCGGAAGAAAAACTGAGATATCTGTCAGTCCACACCTATAAATCTGGACGCGGCAGCCTAGAGGTTAGTGCTTTGGACTCTGGGTGTGGTCGATGTGTCGTGTTCTTGTGCAAATCACTATACTCTCACAGTGCCTTTCTCCGTTCAGGGGTAAAAATGGTTACCGGCGAGTTGTCAAGGATGCCTGATGAGATACTGGACACTAATATCACATCCATCGCTGGGGGGGGAAGAGCCACTGGGCTCGAGTACAGATTTTACTCTTACTTTACACTTGTAAGTCGCTCGCCTTTTGTTAGAAAAATGCACAGGTCAACAAAATTTTAACGCTGGTCTATAAAGTTCATCATTAAGTCTAATTAGACAATAGATATAGTTCGTTGTCGACTGCTACTGATTCTACTCCTGCTTATGCTGATACTAATGCTGCAAAAGCTATTACATTGTTAAGGTAAAATGTCGCACCGCCGACAAAATTCGTCCCGGGGAAAACTGGACGTAATCAACTAAATAAACAAAACCGCGTTTAATTTGTCGATCATTTGTCGTAAAAGCTACTACCAACGAATTTGATAATTATCTTTTGTTGTGAAACTCGTTGATATAATTGATATTACAACTTTGAAACGACTTGGGACGAGTCCTGTAAATTGGAGTTTGAATCCATTAGCGAACTATGCCAGCTGGTCTAAGAAAATATCAGGCGCTCGAACGTGTTATTTTCGGCTGTTAACGGAATTTGACTGCTTTGAAATTTTCAATGCAGATACAAAAGACTAGACAAATGTTTGTCCTGATAAAAATTTGTTCCTTGACTTTGTCGAGACAATTCTAGTTTTGTCCGCTAGTGCAGACAGGCCTTAACCATTTGATTGCCTACTCGTTAGCATAATTTTCTTTGTTGTTTTCTTCATTTCATAAAATAGATCTGGAGTTTTCCGAGACCTACCATCTTTACGAGGGGAGCTCTTTCGGAAGCTGAAAGGCCAAGTCTCTTCGTTCTCTACTGGTAACGGTGTGTTACTCGTATTGTCGACATACACCTTGTAGTAACCAGTGATTAATGCAATCATATCCAAGCAGTCCAAGGTGGTACAGATCAGTTGTAATTTCTGAAAAGGATTAAAGTAATTACTCAAATAAGTTAATAAGTAGGACAATTTGACGAATATTACAAGCCTTGATTTAAGTCAGACTCGCAGAATCAATCGCGCACAACAAATACGCGCAGAAAACGAAAGACGGACAAATTAATGTAATGTATGCATAATATAAAAAGAGTATTACCTTTCCCTCTTGTAGCTTGATCTGTAATAACCGCTTGTTGTCTTCTTCACGGCGAATTGAGAATCCTGTTATCTCTTGAAGTTCAGCCAACTGACACAACTGTAAATGTAGATCAGTCTTGTTATTTTTACACGACTATTTACCTGAAATTTCGTCAACCGGATGAACCTATTGTTGTCATGTTAGTGATCGTCGTCAAGTTGATCGTAAGGAGAGTTATTCACATATGTTGGCCATACTCAGGCAGAACAAGCTTCAGGGCGTGAAATTGCGTCTTAATACAGGCGCCAATGCGACTAAATTTTTCACTTTTATGACCAAATCCTGAGTTAGTCGCCAAATTGGCGACTAGAACGTTTCATCATAACCTTACCAAGAGATATAGTGAACTAAAAAGATTTGCAAAGATAAACCCGCGGCAAACTTCCTCGTTTAGTTTGTTTCCAAAACTTAGCACATGCATCTCGATCGATGACTAGACGCCATCTTGGATTTAGATGAGCCTGAACGTTGTATATCATCCATCCTAGTGTCCACTTTGTAGCACGTTAAAGATCTTTTCCCTAACTTAATTTTGGAGGGTCTATCTAGAACGCTGACAGCGTAAAGAAAGACTTTGTTTGTCTTTGAAAATGGCGACCAACTTTTTTTGAATTGGCTACCACTTTGAAGAATTTAGGAGCCAAGTGGCTATCAGAAAAAAAAGTTAATTTCACGCCCTGTACAAATATCCTGCAATATCGCGGTACGGTCATTCAGATAGTTGGTTATTTTGTACCGTAAAGAAGCCTGTGAAACCAGTTGGCTACGCGCTTCGCTTCTCTATCCGCTTTGCTTTTCCCGCCTCACGAGAAATGAGCAGAAAGACTCAGCAGAATCAAAGAAGAGCAGTTGGATAATAAATAACTTATTAGACGTTTTGCCGTGCAGTATCGCTGAGTGTTTTTAATCGTTATGTGTATTTTGATTCGCCGTACGGGCCCGTCGTCTTTGAAGACTTAAGAAATTTTAAAGGATTGAAATCCGAATCTTTATACCTATAAAGGCGCATTTCAAATCAATGTCTTGTATCTGCTAGGGCAATGGGTTCCTACAGTAAATTTATAACCAAGAAATAATTTCTTATGAATGAATATGTGTTAAATATCAGACAGTTATCACAAAACAATTACATTTTCAAGTGCATAATTTGCAACTAATAAAATTTGGATTCCAATACCTCGGTTGGCGGCTGTCAGGGCTCTGATTGGATGATATCGTTTTTGATTTTCGATTTTCATCCAGGCTTTAGATCGTTCATTAGAGTAAATATAGTAAAGCGGGGCGGAAAAATAAAAAACAAAACAAAGATAAACACACACAAAAAAAGGAGGAACAAAAGGCGATTTACCTACCACATTTACTTTTCCTCTGAGGACTTGACTTACTCCATACTTCAAGTTGATCAGAACGGTGATATGTTGCTTCTTGGCCTTAAATTAATGGCATAAGAACATCGATTAAAGTATGTTAAAAATTCTCCCAAACTTATACATTCTTTTCAACCGACAAAAAGCATTACCTCAGCTACAAATCCTGCGTCGACAAAGTCAATGACAAAAAAATTGATATCGATTAAAGCTCTTGTTGTTTATGCACTGACTTTGCAACGCAAAGTTGTAAACACATCAAAACCTAAAACATGCACAGCAATCTTTCCTTTTAGGATCTTGGTTTTCACTAAACGATCTTGCGACCTTCTTTCACGTCGTTTTATTGAGTAAATCGAAAACACAATCATCCTGAGCAAGAATGGGGATTGCTATTACAACACATACAACACGAGGTGGAATGTAAAATGCAACCGTGCAACAGATGCGACGAATAGGCACCAGAAAGTTGCCGTGTTTCTATCGCTCTTACGAGCATTTAATGTACCTACAAGAGCGATAGAATAATAATACTCATACCGTAAAGGGTAACTGTTATCGAATTATCACATATTACCATTCTAGCTTTTAACCTGAATTGAACGACAGCTTTCAACAAACCTTTTTTAGACTGGGTCCATCGTTCTCATTATCAAGGAGCTTAGCATCAAAGTATCTCCCGCCATAGGAAAACATTTCAACTGCGAGGTTGAGATAATGTAATTTGCACTGCAGCGAGCTCATATATCTCTCTCCTGGTGAAGCAAGGGTCTCGTTCTGCTTGATCTGCTGATCAAGAGTTTTTCGCAATTCTTTTTCCTTCATATTGTTTAACAAATCTGACGCGACGAACTTCTCAAGTCCACCGAATTCTTTTTCCACCTGACGAACGGATATTTTCATCGGTCTTCCTGCGGCAGCTTCCATTGCTTTCTGTTGGATTTGCAGCGCCGCCAGTTTTATGGCCATGTCGTACTTCAGATCCAAGCCGTAGAAACCCTCTACAACTCTGTTGCTTACCTAGGGGTACGATACAGGTAATCGTTACATAGTCGGCCCCAAAGGCCTGCAAGATGGCCCCAGTGGAAACATTTTGGGACCAGTCTCACTCTTTGTAGTCTTAAAACGCTAAAAGTATTAAATCTTCGTATGCAATTGAAATGGTAGCGATTAAAAGTCGTAAGTTTTCCGAGGTTCTTTTGAGATTAAATTAAGTCTTTACCCTTCCTTTATCATTTAAAGCCTTGAACTCAAAATAGCTCACCTGGGCATAAAGATATTCGAAGGTGTTTGGATCTTCTGACAGTAGTTCGTCGTTATCTTTAGGAACAAATCTGTTTAAAAAAATTACACACACGATAAGTCTTACTGCTCTGTCCCTCTGGGTACATTGGTAACGTACTTACATGCAAGTGCATATCCACAAAAGTACCTTTAGAAAACAAAAAAATTAAGCAAAACCAAAAATACAAAACGCGTCCCGTTCGATAGATTACTTGCATATGAAAAGTTGGGTTTGTCAGTGAAAATGGAATATACGTACAAATCTGTACTCACGCGATGACAAGCTTGCATATGCAGTTGACACTGCTGCAGTTGCGATTAGTATAAATCTGTTGAAGGAAAATAGTTAGAGAACAAAATTAAATTTGCAACACGAAGTAAATTCTAGGTTTCATGAGACGCTATATGTCGCTATATGTACACTTGATCCAAATATAAAAAAAAAATACACTAAAAATAATGTGAGTTGTCGAATTTCACGGAAAAAAGTTGGTCCGCGTGGCTTGTTGACGCAGTGAAATTATAAGTAAAATATTCACTTCAATAAAATTTTCATTACCTCTGAGATCTTCTCGTAGTTTTGTATGTACGAAACTTGTCCTTTCTTGGGGCCACTGAGAATCAAACTGAAGTGTTCCATTGACTTTATATCGAGCTTTGAGCTAAATGAGCTAAATATTTCCTGCATGAGAACAAACAAGCAACTTTAAAACCACTGAGGCCTGAAATTTCCCCTTTTAAGACTAAGATCATATAACACTTCGTGCTAGGAGGACGAAGAGTTTTCTATACAGATCACCCATAAACGAGAGGGAGTATTTCTAATCTGAATATAGGAGATACCATAGATACAATAACTCCACAAAAAAACATTACCGACTTACACGTGCAAGACCAGAGAGGTAGAAAGTAAGAACGTAGACTTCCACTTAAAGATCATTAAGAGCTGAAGATAGCTGTGCGAGTCCAATGGAGATTGTAAAAAATATATATCTCAAGTTGCTACAAGTCCAATAAAGGTTGTAAAAACTTGTCTCAAGTTGCTGTGAAGACCCACCTCGACAGTTGTATCGGAGTCGTAACGGAAGGAACGTGTCTGGCCATTTTCTAAGAAGACTTTCAGCACATTCGGGATGAGTGGCACTGAAGACTATCAAAAAAAAAGAGGCTAAAATAAGGAAACCACGAGTAGAAACTTGTGGGGCTTGAGACAATGAACTCAAGTCACCCAGGCTATGAACAATGACCTGTCACTTTTTCTACAGGCTCAATTGGCTCAATCGCTCAGAAAATTGTCAGTACCTAAAACTCTTATCCAACAATATTGCGAAACTTTACCACAGATCACGCAATTAAGCATACGGCTTCTTTAATTTTCGCTTCGAAAAAGAAGCATAATTATGTTAACTAGTTACTTAACGATTTTGTTTTCTCTTTCATCCTAAATACTTCTAAATTGTCGACAAGGCCTTCAATATATCCTACAAAGTGCATCAACGGGAAAAAATTACTATAACTGTCCCAATAATTTTAGAGAAAATTTAAAGAAATTTGGAACGGAAAAAATTTAAAAATGTAATAAATTTTTTAACTATACGAATTTAACTCACCCTTCGAATTGGCTCCATCGGACCAATGACCTGCACCAACGCGGGCTCATCCGCAAAACGTACGGAGACTGGAGTTGACCGACGGCGTTCTCTTGTAGTTCGACTCATGAGTGAAGACTTTCGATTGTGCTGAGAAATAGAGGAAGGCTATAAATTAATTCGCGAGACTTTCGCGTTACCTTGAATAGCTAAAAAACAAACTGCGCAGTTAAAGAAGACAGATCTAAAAATTAATTTGCATCACAAACTATAGAGTTCACGGACATTTTCAGCTTCAAACATGGGTTTAATGGCCAATTTTGAAAAAACAAACTGCGCAGTTAAAGAAGACAGGTTTAAAAATTGATTTGCATCACAAACTATAGAGTTCACAGACATTTTCAGCTTCAAACATGGGTTTGATTACCAATTTTGACGATGAGACATTAGGAAATAACGAGTAAACACTGTGGCCTAATGGTTTGTGTACTGGACTCTGGATCGAAAGGTCTGGGCTCCAGACCTGGCTGCGTTGATGTGCTCTGTTCTTAGGCGAAATACTCTTCCATCACGGAGCCTCCCCTCACCCAGTAGTATAAATGGGTACCGGTGAATTGACAAGGAAGCCTGATGAAATACACCTGGGAGTAAGCCGGGTAACCTTGCGATTGAATAGTATCTCATCCCAGGTAGAGTAGTAATACTCCTTATCGCTTCATGCTACGGAAAACGGAAAAAGGTCCAGCTGGATGGGTAGCTTGGCTCGAGTACAGACTCTACTTTTACCTCTTTACTTCAGTCGTACAAACCTGGTTTTTGGTATCCTGTACATCTTCACTCGCCACCACTTCGATTTCAATGCGATCAGTCGCACTTCTGCACAAACAAGATATGTAATCACCAAAACCTTACAAGTACTCTCAGTTTTACAGCGTAAAACTATATCTTCAGCTGATGTTATAATTTTTAATGCAAAATGTGCAAAAACGGGAACTTGGAATGACACCAACATTTATCCTGTTTGCTTGCAATACGCATTTAAGGGGTTCATTTTCGGGACACACGGGAGCCTAAAGGCGAAACTTAAGTAGACGCTGGTACAAAAGCCCAAACGCTTTATAGAGCGAGCTCCTGTTGGCTTCATCATTTTCTACTATTACATACGTAAGACGACTCTCACAGCAACTCTCTCCAAATAGGATTGTGATAAAGTATTGACACACTGTCAGGTAAATCTGCGAATTATTCAGGGGAAAGGCGGAAAATAGACAATGTCTCGCATCAAGTGGGAGTACATGCACTACTTTCCGAAATACTCGTAGTTCTTCCGTTCAGTGAAAACCCAAATATGCTCGGGCGACCAAGGCAACTTGTTGCTGTTGTGCAGAGCTTTGCCCGATAAAAGAAAATATTCATCCATAACGACAAGCTAACAAATAGACCGAGCCATCACTAAACTGTGGTCTCTCTAATTACTTTATTTCACCTCCGAGACAAAAGTTTGAGAACACCTCCTCATCATAAACAAGCTAGCATAGCTTACTTTATAAGACTGATGACATCAGCTTGAGCAGCGGATCTGACGTCTTTCCCATTCACCTTCAGAATCTGATCATTGGCAAAAAGCTTGTCGTGGGATGGGCCATCTGAAAGAATGGGAAATCAAAATCAGCCATCAAAGCATTAACCTTTCACACCCTAACATCAGTATGCATATTCTCCATACAGTTCCTTATACATTTCCTAAGGTGCTGACAAGGAGAATTTGTTCAACAATCAAGAACTTCTCTAGTTTGTAATCATTTCCTTTATTTGTGTGACCTTAACAATTGATTATTGTAAGGAGATGTTAATTGCGATTCAAAGGGTTAACAGAGTGCTTAAGAATATTTTGACCAGAATATGAGTACACTCTGTTAAAAATTGGACACTCCAAGCGTCCATCAAGCACCATTCACATCGCGATGGAACATGCACCATTCTAGTTCTGGATTCATTTAAACAGGATTTGGTGAAATCTTGATAATTTTAGATTGGCAACCGTGGAGCTACCCGCGCAATGTCTAACCAATCTGCGTTGCTTAGTCTTTAGGCTATCAAGTGAACCTTAAAAAGCATTAGCTTGGCTAAGCATCTACAGAAGGATGAGACGCAGTGGCCCGGTACAAAAGATGACTGGGTCTCCGTGGTGTGTTCCTGAACAAAGTACCTCACTCTCACAATGCCTCTCTACCCAGTCTTCCGAGAGTAAGAAATAAGTGGCTACATACCGATAAGGAAAACATGACTTACTTGGTATAACGGAGCGTATAACGACCGGCTTTTCACTCCCAGCAACAAAACCAAACCCTGAAGAATGAAAGAGACATAGCTTTCTTCACGATCTTTCAATTAATCCTTTAACTCCCAAGATCTGATTGTCAATTCGCCCCTCCATCTTCTAAACATTTCCTTGTAAATAAGTTACGAGAGTTTGGTGTCAGATCGAGATAACAACTTCAATCTGATAAGTTTGAATATCCTCATGACCTTTTTGCTGGATAATGTTTAGATACCAAAGGAAGAAGTTACTTGTTAATCACTTCAAGGAGTTAAAGGGTTAAGCAAAACAGTTTCTTTGCTGTGACTCAAACTTTTAACAGCTACAATGTGTGAATAGCTTGTACTACGTACTACAATTCAATCACCCTTGATAACAAATCTAACTGCTAGGTTGAGGGCTGTTTTCTCTTAGTTTTAATACAAATATTTGATACTAATATTACTTATGATTGACAAAAATATCCCTTGCCATAACCCAACTGAGTACAGTTCTATTGTTTCTAGAAGACTTGTAGATATCAAAACAATCATTTTAGATTAATCTAACTTCTAAAATAATGGCCAGAATGCACATAATGTATTCAAACTAGAAAATACTAAAAATTAAAATTGAATCACTTAATTATCAGAGTATAGCAGGTAATTTAGTGTTAACAACTGAGTTGAAAATGTAAATTAGCCACCGTAAAGGGTAAAAAAGCTGACATTTCGAGCGTTAACACTAAATTACCTGCAATATGCTGTATCTCCTTGAAAAAACACTTGTGCTTCAATGAGCACCTCCTACCTCTGGGCCATAATATCAAACAAGCACTTCTCACATTTTTGGAAGAGCCTCTACCCTAGGAACTTAACCCCAACCCCCCCCCCTCCACCACCCCCCCAACTCCCTTCTCCCTGCCTTAACTCTGGAAAGGAATCAGGGGATTAACTAGTCAAAAATCACCAACCAGATTTGAAGAACAACTTAACAAAACAGCCCTAGAGGAAGCACTCGATTTATACTTGCACATTCCTCTGACTGCCCTCCCCCCCCCCATCAAATTAAATCACACATGATAGCAAATTATCCCTCACTATAATGTTAAAGCAACATGAATTAGTTTATTGTACCTATTTTAGCATCTCTCACAAGCTCAATTCTCCTAGCTTGAGGCAGTGTCTGATCAAAACACAAAATAACACATTTAATTGCACCTGCATATTATATAGTATAAGCATCCTAGACCCTTCAGGTTTACCCTTGAAGACACATCATGATATTATTAAACCTAAGGTGCAAGTTTTGAGTGAAATTATTCTGTAATTATCATGGGGCTTGTCTTTGATCACATAAAATCAAACATTTACAAAAATTTCAGGAATCTAATTTTAAGATCATTGTGGTTCCCTGCTTTTAAAATGTTCTTGAGCAACTCTGGACTCAAAAAATTTGGAGATCTTAAATTCAACCCACGTTCAATTGTAATTATAGAAAATGAGACATTTTGATGTTATTTGCCTTAGTGACAATCATCCTTGCTCCTTTGAATTTAACAAAATGAACACACCCCCACTTACATGTGCAATTACACAGTGCTCTTACACTGTGTTTAGATTAAATTTAAGCATGAAGAAATATTCACCATCTTAACATGAGTTGCCTGATCAGCCTCTGATCTTGGGTCTTCTCTAGTTGTTGCCCTTGTCACATGACTGATAAAAAAACACAAATTACTTGTTAAATTTTGTTAGGAGATGAAATTTCTTTGTTGTTCTCACTATAGAGTCACTCTTCGATGTTGATCGCAACATTTTGACTGCAATACTGCTAGTCTTCACCAAACGATGAGGTTGATTGTTTACATGTTGCTATTTGTAGCACGTTGGTACGCTATTATTGTTGCATTTCAAGCTTGTCATTATTCCTGTTGTTCGATGGTGTTCCGTCATAGGTCCTCATAAGTCCTTAAAGGTCCTCATAAGTTGAAACATCGCAATCAACATCGAAAAGTGACTCTTTCGTGAGACAAATGGACAAAGTTCATCTCCTTTCTTACACCACCATGAAAAATACACACGTTTTAATGGAATTTGTTCTTTCCTTTTTTTTTCTTTGTATTTCATTTCATCGCTGTCATTGTTACTACCATTACTATCATCATTACTACAGCTGCATAATCTGAAAAGAGTCAGAGGCTATCAAATTTGAAAAAAAAATTTTTTGTGGATTTTTTACTCAGCAGTACAAGCTGCTGCCTGCTATTGCTGTCAATTTAAGTCACTTTTAGCCAATTTATCATATTTCTGATAATTACCTACCCTCCCCTTCCCCATTGATCATGAGACCTGTATAGCCCACTTCATAATACTGCTTCCATTCCCCTAGCCCACCCCCCTCTTCAAAAAAATAAATACAAAAAAAACCAGAGAGGAAACAAGTAAAATTCACTTCTTTCGGTTTTACCGCAAAAGCAATAATCGTCTCTGTTAATATTAGAAACCGAGGCAGTGTTCCACGGATGACTGCGTCTCGCTTTAAAGTAATGCAATATAACTACATTTACATTCGTAGCCTCATCAAACAATATTTATCGGAACTAAATGAAATCTGGCGCCTGTGTCTGAAGTTTACATAATCTAATGTATTATCGCATCGATCGGAGATTCGAACTTGGCTCAGAGTTCCAATCCACTGTTCGTGCAAGATAATTCGAAGTTAGCATTTTCCTTAAAGATTACCCTGGATTAATTACCGCGACACAATATAAAATCACTTGCATATCGCTCAAAAGTTAATGCGATTTAAAGCTACGCGAAGACCGGTTCAAAATAACAAAGACTATTATATATTCGTTCACGCGGCAAATGCAATAAACTCTGTCTCGCAATGTTTACCCAAATATAAATACACCTGTCGTTTCCCCGCAAATATGATGCGAACGGGGTGGTTTAAATCAAAGATACAAAAGTTTAAGTTAACCATCTCACGGTTTGGTTACGTACTTTATATAGTATTTCCTGTCGTGGTCATCCAGAGCCGCTTCCCAACCGTAGGGAAGGCCAAGTTTACTCGTCCAAAATTCTGGTGGTGGAAACCAGTGCGATGATCGAGTGCGCTGACTGTAAAAATGGAATCAAATCAAAATTAACCATTTGTTGTCAGCGCATGTATTATAAATTTTACTCCTGTGTGTTGAAGTAGATGTGAATAAGCGGACAAACATCGATATGGAAGAGTATTTCGGTGTATCTAAGGGTCGTATCTATTCAATAAACACAGGCGCTTAAGTTAAGACTTAAGAGTACAAGTGATCTATTTACATGGAGCGAAGTTGTAATGTAAATCTCGAGCACGAATTATCAGCGAGGAATACATGCGTATAAAATTAAAAATAACCAACGGAACCATCAAATGTATACTATCTGTCGCTCACAGAAAAAAAAAATTCGCTACGCCTTGTAATTTTCTTAACGAAACTAAGTATTGCTGTAAATATAATTGAAATAAGAAATCGGAAAATGTGATTATACCTGGTCGTGTGATTAGATTCTTTAGAAATAGCTCGTTAACTTTTTCGCTTCCAGAAAGTTCTGCCCAACTACAGAATTCTAAAATCAGTCTATGTGAATACTTACTTGACAAAATATATCCTTTGACCCGTTGTCGAAATCGCTTTCCATTCTGGAGACAATTGTTTGCCGTATAAAAGCAGCGACGGCGAAGCCTTGTCGCTGTTCGCTGATTCATTACTAACGGCCATTGGACAATAACAACCAAACAGGACACGGACCCCTACGAGCTATTTTCATGACCACTAAACAAACTACCAAATACTATAGTATCTGGAAATATTGATGAATTTTTTAGTCTTCAATGCAAAACTAGAGTCATTTCGCCGATTTACAGGCGCAATTTTCATTACACGATCGTGATTTTCTCATGAGAAGGGAGGACTGTTTATCGCAACATTGGAACCGCTGACCAATATCAAGTAAGTCTCTGATTGGCTGATTTAGTGTCCTAACACCTGTGCCTGGGAAAATCCCTTTGTAAGTGAAAATGACAAAAATGTTACCTCATGTCGATATTTATAACAGTTTACAAATATATTCCAATTTTGACTGTTTCGTAGACTCTTCGAGAACGATATTTATTCAACAACCATTCACCGAAGTGGGGGTGGCTGGGGGTGGATATTTACAGAGCCGCGGAAAAATTGTTTCTTTACATACCAAAACAGTGAGATAACACAGCACAAAGAAATGATTCATGCGACAGTTACAACGTTTTCGGGAGCAAGTCCCGCGAGCATTGCGCGGAAATAAAAAGCAAAGTATTTGCGAAGTTTGAGTAGCCAATCAGAATCAGTGTTTAGCGCCATCCACTATATTATGAAAGGCACTACCTTCCCAGGAAAGTTATTACGTTCCGGTATCACTTCAAAATTATCTTTGGAATAATTCAACCACAAAGATGCCTCTTTGATAGTAAAAAGAAAATAATTGCCAGGATCAAAGCAGAGATAATGCAGTCACGAAACCATGGTATTAATTTCAGTGATTCGCAGATTGATATTATACAGTTAAGTTATTTATTCAATCGTCAACCCATTCATAATTATCTTCATCAATCTCCCCCGCTGTTTTCTCTAGCTGTCTGTATGTATTAATTGGCTTGTAATCAATCATTGCACAACTTTCGAAAAATGCTACAAAGGATTATATTCTAAGAGAATCTTGAGGTCCTTTCCACTGTTCAGTTCCAAAATTCCTAGATAACTCAACCTCCTTCTCAAGGTCTCTTGGCGGGAAAATGAGACTCCCGTGAGTTCCTGGGGACAAAATTAAGATCAAGACTTTGTTGACATCAAATAGATATTAGAAGTCGCGTCAACCATGCTTTAAAATCTCTCTATGGTTCGATACTCGCAATTTCAGCTAATTTAAAACCATTGTGTCTTGCGACTTGACTATTTTTCCCCTTCCCCCTTGGTATTCGTCTTTTGCATTCACGTGCTATACACATAATCTGATCAATCATGTTGGCAGACCTTGACCTCGACATTTTGGTTGGCGTGGAAACCCGTTTTTTCAGGGAATTTTACAAAAGTGTATTTATTTTCGTTTTTGAGCTTTTGTTATTTGTCATTTGCTTTTGTTTAAATTTCACAACTTTTCATAGGTTTTTTTCCAATACATTTTATTACACCTTTGCTGACTGAGTTTAAAGCTAGCTCCTTTATCAGAAAAAGAAAAAAGATGTTTACAATCTTACCATTTGCACTGGGAGACTTTGATTCGACCGGACAGTTGACCTGCATGTCGCTTGATCATTTGTGTGATTTTGTTGTCTCTTGCCCCCTCTTAATGCAAACACAACTCACTAAGTAATATATCTTGCTCACGACTCAGTCTTTGCGATCAAGATTAGGTAGCAAACTTTCCCTTCTGGGCACTATGCTCAGAATGCATGTTTCCTAGTAATCTGGAAAATAAAATTATAACAGCGGCTGTTCAACCTCACGTACGATTTCTTTTTCTGGGGGCATATTAATAAAGGATTTTCTCAATACCCTAAGTCAGGCGACATCATAGCAATGTGTTTTCCTCTTAAGGGAGAATAAAACAATACATGTCTATGTTGTCCGTAGGTCAAGCTATCATGCCGTTTTTGCGTTGATGAAAGAAAGCACAAAAGAACGCTATTGTGATTCACAATAAGTAGAGAAAATTTAGTTAGTGGCGGCTGCATAAATTTACCCCACAAATCACTCCTCAAAGAGTAATGAAAATCGCCATTCTCCCGCGCCATATGCCAAAAGTAATAATCATTGAAGTGTGTGCAATTATGAACCACGACCAATGGCGCGAATGTGTCATATTTTTCTTGATTTGTGTACCCTCTTGCTGTGCGGCGATCTGTTTGTTGCGCTCAAGCGTTTGACACCTGCTCAGCTCTTCCTTCAGAGGTTAAGATATAAATCACAACGAGTCTAGCCTCGATAAATCATCGAAGGCTGAGAGATTGTGACAGAAAGCGACGCCATTTCTCCCCGCGAACCAGGGAATTGAACTTGACTGTTATTGTCATACAAGGTAAAGAAGTGTTCGCAAAGATTTACCACACTATATTTTGCTATCCACTGTTTACTTTGCTGATCCGTTGCGTTCGGATAAATAACTTTTGAGTGGGTTATTAGGCTAAAATACAAGGGCCCACGAACCTGTTTCCAACGTAGAGAAATAATCTACAAGCAACCTAAGATGTAATTAAGCGAGATTGGAATACAAAAAATTTTTATAATTTTTTCCATAATATTGATTATAAGGAAGGATAGCTCATCGTTTCAGGAAAATGATGTTTGTGTCGAAGAGCATGTCAGTCAGACTGCTATTTTTTGCAAATACTTTTTTTAAATTCATTTTTTGTCCGTTAGATCGTTACGGGCCATTTTTAACCATTCCCTTTCGTGTTTTTTTTTTCATCATCGATCACCAATTTTTTTTCCTCTCTGACACCGAATTGATTAATATCACACTTGGTCAATCCTACATACAAACAAATATATATTTTTATCAAAAATTTCAGAATATCATTATCCACAGGCCGGCTTAAACAAATCGCGACATAGAAGAAGGTACACAGTTTGTCACTCGACCTATAGAACTTTTATAAACTCGTACGAGAAGTCAAAACATGCCAGATTCTCATCAGAATGTTTAGATCTCCATATCATAATAACCTCGATTTATAATTGAGTCATTTAACATTCAAACATGAATTACAAAATTATACTGCAATAACTTCTGTCGCAACGGAAGTGAATCATTCGATCGCAATCAGGAGGAGTTTTCACACGACGCAGCAATATCACGAAATTACTGCACAATTTTATTTTTACAAAATTACTGATTGAAACTCACCATAATCGCCAAGCTAGATTAAGGATATCCTTAATTAACTTAAGAAAGAAACATCAGAAGACTTGATCGAAATACACATATTATAGTAATAACATTACAAGAACCAGACTAGAACTTGTGTGTCATTTACACCAACAAAACATGGTTAGTTAAACCAGATTTAACAGGATAAAAAACCGCGATAGAAAACTGAACAACTAAATTTTACACAGGATTGTAATAACTTTGAGGTCGACAAACATAAGCAGCTTAAATGAAGAAAACAATTTCAGACTATTTTTAACAAAGCAACATTAAAAAGTTTTTTGGCTTTGGTGTTAATGAGGTATAAACCAAAAGCCCATCATGGACACCTTTTTCGACTTAACTGTATCCTTATCATCAGCACATTGTCGCAAAACGAAATATAGCAACCACTGCGAAGGTGGTCACTTTTCATGTTAACTGGGTTTGGTGCAAAAGATCTCAGATGCAAAAGTCATCAGATCATTTCATAACAATTAGGACGCCACGCAAAGATTTCTTATTAAGAACAATGATGCTCATCGCCTTTTACTAGTGACTTACTTCAACTTAATATTAGAGCGGATTTGCCTTGTTTACCCTTTTCTGAAAGTGAGCGAAAAAAGTAGTCAATATGTTTCGACAGATCTTTATGTAATCAATACAGATTGGCGAACAGTTGTACTTCAAATGGGCAAAGAACTCATGTAGACTGTGTTTCAATTAAATCAGTACAACAATACTGTTACTATAATTATTATTTCTATTAATTATTATCATTATTACTATTATTATCGTTTGCAATATAATTACTGAAGTCGAATAATCAGCACTTTCCAGAGTTCATGAAAATGATAATTTTTTTCTTTTTTTCTTGGTCAGTTGCAGTCGCATAGGTGATTCCTCGTAAATAGGGGAGTAGTTAATCTGAGATGTCTTCAGAAGACCTTGTTCGTTATTTGTACAAACAAACGGAAGCTATTTCTTCACAACAGCTCGATAAATTTGAAAACAGTTAGGGCGGAGATCGCCTTGGCAATTTCATTTTAGCTCGGTACGAGTTCAAAAGATTGCTTCTTATTGAGAGACAGGAAAGACGACTCCTAGTGTTTGTTGACTTAAGAAAGTTCTTTCTCTTTCAGGCTGCACATAAAAACAAACACCAAATATCATCTGCTTCGTCTGAGTCTTCCAGTCATGCACTCATACCTCCATAAATAATTCAGTCTGAACATTTGCCTTTCAGTGTTTATGCATGGATTGTAAGAAACACAGAAGCAAACAGAAATTTCCTTGAACGATCATATGACGCAAAGCGCAATTGTAACCAGAAACCTTAGGCCTCACCACCAGTGCGGAAATTTTATTATTTGAGAAATAGCTCTTGCACGTTTTAAATGGCTCAGATCACTGACGTAGACATATATGTTATTACACATATCTTGTGGGTCTTCGCTGTGAACCTAGACTCACCACGCTGGGGACGGGTTCATAACCAATATTAAGTTGAAAAATCACACCACAGGAAATATTCCACAGCTTTCCCTTTACTGATATGCATGTTTATGGAAAGCACTCCAATCAACTCTATAATGATTAATACGCATACGTCTAGAGATCAATATTCACATGTACTGAAGGTCAAATGTTTTCTGGGTAGACAGACGCGTGATCGTATTCGCATAGGTGGCATTCAGTTTGTTGCTTTATTATTATTATTATTATTATTATTATATATATATATATATATATTTTTTTTTTTTAGTAGGTGGGTGATTGTGTGAAAACCATAATTGCTTCATTCGTATTGTTATTTATCTCAGTCGCCGAATGT